GTGTTAAATAACAAAAATGAGGTGTTATTTAACATATATTCCCTAAAATTAACAGTAAGGCGCAGTTATTAAAAATAACAGGTTAATCATGTTGAAATTTGGGTGTAAATTAACAGAAACATTTTACAGTGTAGGCTAGGTTGAAAAATCTGCTAAACTAATAATTGCTCATTCAATGAACCATAAACAATTTTTGCACATGCACCTGTGGAACAGTCCCTAATACACTAACAGTTTACAGGCAGAGGAAAATTAATGTCACAGTTCCAATAACTTTAGACCTTTGTTGACTCTGAAAAATACCAGAAGAAAGATGCCCATGAGTCCCTGATCACCTGGGTGAACATGCCATAGTCCTGCTGCAGGAGGCATGAGGACTGCAGATGTGGCCAGAGCAATAAACTGCAATGTCTGTAATGTAAGACACCTACAGTGCTACCGGGAGACAGAAAGGACAGCTGAGAAGAACAGCCACACAAGATGACTGCTACGTTTGATATTGACCCCCGCTCTGCAGGGAGGGTTGTTATTCCATTTCTGTTCGTCAAATGTCTGTGAAATTTGTTCAGTTTATGTCTTATATTTACACATAATAAGACATTTGCTTTAAAAAGCAGTTGAAAGTGGGAGGAAATTTTTTAATATTTTTGAAAGAAGTTATGTGCAGGCTGCATTTATTTAAATACAATAAATACAGTACTATTGTGAAATATTATTGGAAATTAAAAGAACTGTTTTCTATTTTAATATATTTAAAATGTAATTTATTCTTGTGATGGCAATGCTGAATTATCAGCATCCTTACTCCAGTCTTCAGTGTCACATGATCCTTCAGAAATCATTCTGCTGATTTGGTGCTCAGGTAATATTTATTATTATTATTATCAATGTTGAAAACAGTTGTGCTGCTTAACATTTTTGTGTAAATAGTGATACTTTTTCAGGATTCTTTGATGAATAAATATAGTTCACTGAACAGCATTTATTAAATTTATTAAAGCATTTATTAAATAAAAATTGTGACATTGTAAATGTCTTCACTGTCCCTTTTGATCAATTTAATGCATCTTTGATTAATAAGTATTAATTTCTCTCTTTTTTTATTTTACCACAAATGTTTGAATAGTGTCCTTGTTTCCACAAAAATGTTAAGCAGCAAAAACTGTTTTTAACATTGATAATATTATTATTATTATTAATAATTATAATACATGCTTCTTGAGCAGTAAATCAACAGGCTATATGATTTCTGAAGGATCATGTGACACTGAAGACTGTAATGATGCTGAAATTTCAGCTTAGCCATTACAATAATAAAGTACACTTTAAAATATATTAAAATAGAAAACAGTTATTTCCATTTTTAATAAGATTTTGCAATATTACTGTTTCTACTGTATTTTTGGTGAATAAATGCAGCCTAGGTGAGCAGAAGAGACTTCTTTCATAAAGTTATGAAAGGCGTATAAAATGCAATAAAAAAATTGTTTCACAGTTTTCTCTCATTATGTGCAGTTACTGTCTGTTCTTTACTGAGTTCCAACAAAAATGTTGTAGTAAATTTAATATGAACATTATCGTGCCCAGTAATGCAATTACATAACATTACTTTTTGGTCTGTACTGGTCCTGATCGTTGTTGGTCATATAGGTGTTGTTGTTGTTATAATAATAATATTGTTACATAAATAACCAGTATTACAGTATTAGGGCTATTACTGGTAAATGTTTTCCGATAGTGATATGACAATATGCTTAGTTATGTAAACAGCCTATCCCAATTGACTTATGACGGGATCAATAATGTTTTTAAGTAGACTATTTCAAATAACAGTTTAGTAAAGTCATCTTGGACTTAAACGAAGCATTTTTTCGTTTGGATATCTAATGGGAGAATATGGAATTATATTGCAAAGCACATTATTGTTGGCTGTTCTAGTTCACCTGAAGCGCTGAAAATGAAACCTGTGAGACGTCACGTGACCGAAACCAAAGTGGGTTAAGAGATTTGCTTATGTTTACTGAGACTGCGTGGCAGAAGTCTGCTTAAATGTCACACCTCGTGTTTCGCGAGCATTTTAGGCTACTCCGAAAGTGAAGGCCATTCTCTCTTACACCACATTACAAAGAGATAGCAGCAACATTTGATGTTTGTTAAGGCAAATTAAATCTTTGCGTTTTAGCCTCTTTGTGTCTTTTAATTCATTGTACTTTGTGATGTCCTATACTCTTTAGAACTCATTCTCAACCAGCTGGTCTAAAAAAAAAACAAAAAAAAACAAAACAAAAAAACATAGTTTTTAGTATCAATGACGCGTCACCCAAGATCATGTGATACACGGCCAAATTAGTCTCTGTGTGCACTGCAGTGTGCACAGACATTCCTATGTTAGATTTCCGTGAACGTCTTATCTTTCGTTAAAAACAGCGCATAAGCAAACTGATTAGGTTTCTGGAACTGCTTTCATTTATGCATTCCGCTTTAGAAAACAATTGCTTAAAAAAAATAATTGCCTGAATAGCAGCCATACAGAATTGATTGCTGTCTCATACCATCACACCTCTCATCTCATACCTTGTAATTTCACTAACAACCCCACAAATTACTTACAATTGCGTTTTCTTTTATTAAAATGTATTAAGGCTATCACATGCATTATTTGTGATGACAAAATAAATAACTGGACATCTTACAGGCAGGCCTATATATATACAGTGTATATATATATATATATATATATATATACAGTGTATATATATATATATATATATATATATATATATACACATATACACATATATACACACACACACACACACACACACACACACACACACACACACACACACACACACACACACACACATATATATATATATATATATATATATATATACTGTATATAGGCCTATAACTATACTGCATATAGTTTAGCCTGTTAGGTGAACCTATCAAATAATTTCAGACATAACACTTAAACCACGTATTATTCAGTATACATTTTCATCTTGTGAGTTTCCCTCCAGCATGTGTCCTCCTCACCATGGCTACTGTTGTTTTGCTGCTTTCTCCCCACTGCTGTGTTGCCTATAGCAGCAGACATGGAGGATGAAGCTCTCACTCTGTCACGCTCTCTTTAGATGCATAAACAAAAAGCAGTTGGCCCTCTTAAGCTGTCTGAAATAAGAGAGAGGAATGTTCACATAACCCTCAATGACAAACTAAGGTGTAACTAGTATTTCCAGGAATTGTGAAAACATGTTTATATATTTAAGTTACTTATGCAGATTTCTGTCGTTTAGAAGAGGTTAGTTAGTTGTGTAGTCCATGTATTAAATTAATTTTCAAGACTACACACGGTACTTTTATGGGTTTGGGTTTCACAGACAGAGCTTATTAAGCCAGAATTAGACCTTAGTTCAATTAGGACATTTCAAGTAGGCTACCTTAGAAATAAAACATTAATGGTGTGCATCTTGAGACAAAACAATGGCACTTATATCTTAAGATACCGGTATGCCAGTGCAAGTTGCTTTCAGTTAAAACAGCTGAAACATGCATTTTAGTCCAGGACCGGTTTAAGCCTTGTCTGTGAAAGCGGAGGAATAAATAGGCAAATAATTGCATAATTGAAAAATCCACTTATTTTATTAGGCCTATTTTACTTAATTCATTCTTACAAACCCTTAAAGGAAATACATGGTCTTTAAACTTCCCATAATGCAATTTAATGAGATTGCATGCTTCTTCTTTTCATTTCTATAGTGCCTATTGTTTTGCTGTGGAAAATTTTGCCCATTTAGCCATTCCATTGTGTGAAGACTTCCCCTTTAATGTAACTTTCTGCATATCAAAACATGTCCTCTTTTGTTTGGTTAGGAAAAGTAAAATTTTATTGTCAGATTTATTTATTTAAGGTCATCATATTGAAAAGCTTGTGCCAGTAAACTGTAATTGAGAACGCTGATGAGAGCTTGTTTGTGATCATGATATGAAAATCTTTAGCTCATCCATCTCAGCATTTATCTACAGGATTGATGTCAGCTGTCAGTAAAATTGGTAGTTGCTAAAGCTTTCAGATTTCTTCAAAAAGATCTTCGTTTGTGTTCTGAAGATGAACAAAAGTTTGCAACGACATGAAGTTGAGTAATTATAATTAATGACAGATGTGTTTTTTGGTGAACTATCCCTTTAAGTGCTAATGCTATTCATCTGAAATAAGAATCTTATTCTTATTTTAATTTTAAATTCTGAATTTTAATCTTTTACTGTCTATGGAATTAATATGGGTGGCTAATCTCAATGCTTAAAGCATTTCTGATTTAATTTTCAGCATTAAAACCGTTTGGTTCCCCAAACGCATCATGAAGTCTGTTGTCTTGGTCTGTGGCGCCACTATCTGGTAATATGTGACCATAAGCAATAACCTACTTGTCAGAATATATATTTTCTCTCTGTTTTATTTTCTCCTACTTTAATTGATTGCCTCTCGTGTACGTTCATATGTATTACACTAAATATTATTTCTAAAGGTGTGGTATCTGGAATTTTCATATCGTTGCAGCAGGCATTATAGACGCACGACGTAGTGACATCACGCATCACGTCTAGGTTCTCGTGCGGCAGTGTTGCCATGACCGCTTATTTTGTACAACTTTCGGGTTGTTGTTGTTTTTCATAAAGTTGCTTATAAATGTCACTTAATAGATATACCATACAATATCATCAAACACAGTCATGATTTTAGGCTTTCAATTGCTTTTTCACCTCCCGAATGATCTATAAATGCGTAATATTATTGATGTGTCTGCAAGAGAGCATGTATTGATTTGGATAGCAGTTATTTATAATGTGAAACATTTCAATTACTTTTGTTAAATACATTTTAGATTCATATAAATACATTTTAACCGAATTATAATGTTGTTTTTTTTGTGCACGTTTCAATGATAGAACATTTATTCTGGGTTTATTTTGTATATCCAGCGAGATCTGGCAACACTGTAGTGCTGTTTCCCTAGTGTTAGCTAAACATCATCACGACCTTTGAAGACTCCAATCCCGGTCGAATGAATGAATGAAGTCCGGACACAGGTTTTAGCATGTCAAATTTTGCCATGGGTGCCCTGTGCCGTAATTTGACCAGGGGAGTGCTTTGTGGCCCGTCGTCATGTTTATCTGTAACGGGATTTCGGGATTTTTGCAGTGGAGTCTCACGACTGGATGGCGCTGGCAGTGACAGCGCACGAGCCGCCAGGTGCTTCATTTTAAATCTTCCGGTTCAAATACTGTTAATTACTCAGGAATGCATGTGTGTGAGGGAGTGCTGTTGCGATATAAAGTTCCATTTACTTTATTTTAAAGTTGTTAGCTGCGCATTCTGTATCGCATTTGCAAATTAGCCAGTTGTTGGTATTTTTATTAAGAAAACATTAGTAAAACCAGAGCAAAATGGCTAATTATACAGGTAATGTTCTGTTTTGTCTTTCATAGAAAGAGCTCTTTCGTTATGATTCTATAAACAAGGCCATGGTTGCCAGACAGCTGTGGTTGCCAGACAAATTCTGTAAAAATACAGTAATATGTAAACATATTTACAGAACATACAACAATAATACAAATCCAACAGCTCTTTTCTGTTGAATTAGCAAGGCCACGCTGCTACTAAAATCTGTTTTGTACCTTGAAAATATACTAACATCCACCATAATAACGGGGTAAAGAGAAAGACATGATGAATTAGAGTTAATCACAAGTAGCTTTTACATTAGCTGAGGTAGGCTAATACTAATATATTGATGGTGCACACACAGTGTCATGCACACATACTAAACACCATAACGGACAGCAATATAACAATGCAATAAACATTACGATGTAACATAAAACCCTTAGTGTACATAAATTATATTAAAAAAAAGAAACAATCAAATGTGAAGTGTCATTCAAAATTCTGGGAATGTCAGCTGATGGCTTTTCACTCTAAATTATAATGTGATTTGTTCTTTTTTTACTTTTGAAAACGGTACATCTAACAGTACTTTACTGTGAAATTACATGAAATGTAAGGGTAGGTCTATTACAGGTTTTCTCTGTATGTTAACCAATTAAATATTTTTACAGTAGCATTTTTACAGTTAAAATTACTACCATTTTTTTTTTTACAGTGTCTTCATCCTTGTCTACTTTGCTTTCTCTTAGTGCTGTAAACTTGACCTATGATGTGTTTGATGGGACCGTAGACAGCACGCCATTGGTGTTTCTTCATGGCTTATTTGGGAGCAAGTCAAACTTCCACTCCATAGCCAAGTCCCTGGTGCAGCGGACAGGCAGGAAGGTATGCTTCCAGTTTCTCCAGTGGTTAAGAGGTGCTGTGGGCTGTTCAGAAGAGTCTGTGCGAGTGTCCTGACTGTACTTTGTCTAGTTAGGTGCTGACAGTAGATGCTCGTAACCATGGCAAAAGCCCACACAGTCCTGTCTTGACCTACGAAGCAATGACCTACGATCTGACGCATCTGCTTGGACAGCTGCACATTGGGAAGTGTGTCCTGATTGGACACAGTATGGGGGGAAAGGTTGCTATGACGACAGCTCTATCTCAGGTAACACCTGTATAATTTCTTTCATGCAACCACAACTTAACATCTAATAGTAGGCCAAAGGTTCAGTGACATGAACCTCACTCATGATGATCTATTAATTTATTCAAAAATACATAAGAAAATGCATTTCACACTTAGTCATTTGAATAGACCACTTATATGATGAATAAATTAAAAATCATATATTAATAATTTTGATATTTTTTAGGGGGCATGAAGTTAAATATGTCAGTGTGATACAATTGTCCTGATATTATAATGAAGATTAAAAAAAGGCTTATTATAAGAGTGAAGATTTTCAAGAAAGCAGTGTGGCGTTTTTTTATATGTCTTAGAAAATAAACAGTAAAACAGTTTTGTAAAAATGTTATAAATATTTGACTTTTTTGTCTCCTAAATCAAAGTCATGTGGTGCAACCAACATGCTGAAAAAAAAACCATATGGTCTCATGGTCTATAAGTCTCTTAAAAGATCTAATCATTCGACCTTTTTATGACAAGACAAGATTAGTTTGGGTTATAAAATGTCATAAATGTCATGAATCCTGAAAAAACAAACAAATCCCAGTTCTTTCAAAAATATTAAGCAGCACAACTGTTTTCAACATTGATTTGAATAAGAAATGTTTCTTGAGCACAGAAATGGCTGCTGAAAATTCAGCTTTGCAATCACAGGAATCATAAAATACGAATACAATTAAAATTGTAATTAGAAAATATAATAATATTTCACAATATTACAGTTTCTACTGTATTTTTCATCAAATAATTTACCTTGGCGAGCAGGAGAGACTTGTTTAGAAAACATTTTCAAAAATCTTACCGACCCCCAAATCTTTTGTGTGTGTGTGTGTGTGTGTGAGAGAGAGTATATATATATATATATATATATATATATATATATATATATATATATATATATAATCTATTTATTTTATTATAATAAAAGTAAATAAGCGATTAAGATGTTTACAATTAAATGTATCCAGGTAGTAAGCAAAATATGTTATTACATTTCTATTTTGTCTCTCTAATTCAGCCTAATTTAGTGGAAGGGTTGGTTGTTGTGGATATTAGTCCCTCTCAGACTTCAGCCCGCACCAATTTCCATGCCTACATCCAGGCAATGAAGGAGGTGAAGATAGCCAGTGATATCCCACGTTCCACAGCACGGAGACAGGCTGAAGACCAGCTCAGGAAGATAGTTAAGGTAACCATGTCCACACACACGCCTTATACTGTATATAGTTAACTGGAACATTGTTATAGTGGCATTTCAATGTAATCACCCATGTTTATGTTGTTTGCAGGAGCGTTCAGTTCGTCAGTTCCTTCTCACTAACCTGGAGGAGCAAAATGGTGACTATGGCTGGAGGATTAACCTGGAAGCCATCTCAAACCACCTAGAGGACATCATGGCTTTTCCTGATTTTAAAACCACCTATGAGGGTCCAACTCTTTTCTTGGGTGGCAGTAGCTCAGCCTACATAAGGTAATAACTTTATTTAAACCCCTACTTGTACACATGTGCATCATTATGGTTAATATAATCTCTCTCTGTTAACTCAAGTTAAGTCACCATTATTTATATAGCGCTTTATACAATACTGATTGTTTCAAAGCAGCTTTACAGTGATAACAGGAAAATGATTCATTTCGGCTGTTCAGCTGAAGTCAGTTCAGTGTTGATTCAGTTCTGTTGTGAAGATCATCAATTATTAAATAGTTCATTTCATCTATAAAGCAGTTCTGCAAAAACTGATGTCATCGTCCAGCTCAGTTCAGTTCTCATATAGCAGCGTCAGTACAGTCAGATCAATACTGTTGAATATTAAGCGTCACTTTTCTCTTTCACTTTTGAATGTTTGAAGTGTCTTAAATACATGTTTATTTAAGTCTGTGTCTGTTTTCCTGCCATGGACCCCTTGGTTATCCTCTTAGCTCGGAGGATTACCCTGAAATCCAGCGACTTTTTCCTAGTGCTGATATCCAGTACATCCCAGATGCCAGTCACTGGATTCATGCTGACAAGCCTTTGGATTTCATCAGCTCCATAATCACTTTCTTACAATCATAGTCCTTGTCTCAGGTGAGGATACGTACAGGTGCGCCCAATGATTAAGGGACGGTGAATGAATTGTAAGGGTGTGTGGACCAAGATGACTGTTATTTAGTTCAATCTAGTCTCTTACCTTATAATGCACAATAGCACCGGTATATAATTCCTGATAGTTAGTGTATTCATTTTTCAATGTGGTATTTGCACTGTTGCGTAACATAGTACATTAATTTCAATGTTATCAAAAAAGGATGTATAGAAATCTGGCCATGACTTTCAATCAAGGACATTTGTTCATAGCTGTTACAAAACAGTGGATCCAGTGGTTTAAAAAATATGTACTTTACCTTCATAACTTGTATGATAAATGGACTAGATTTAGATTTTTTGTTATATATATATTTTGATTAAAAAAATTAAAACAATATTTTAGCTTTATAGCTAAATGACAATTGGACTAGATTTACATTTTTCTTTTTCTTTTTTTAATACTTTAAATTATATATTTTTTTGGTAAGCATATTGTTGACATGGAAACCCTTTCTCTGTGCTCTGATAACAAATACAAAGATGTCTATGCAACAGCGTGTGACTTATTTAACTGTTCTCAAGCTGAAAGCATCTCACAGTCTCAGTTTTAGATTGAATAAGACCACAACACTTTGACGTGCAGCCAAGAATTGTTACTTTTTTTCTGGAAACAGAAATTTGAGTTGTTTCTGAAATGTTTTAAATCATTAATGCTATAGGGCAGAATAGGTTTGTTTCTGTTGTTTCAAAACGGTTGTGCATGTGCTATAAGTTAGGTGGGTAACACTTTAGTTTAGGGACCAATTCTCACTATTAACTAGTGGCTTATTAGTTGGCATATTACTAGCAAATTGGCTGTTTATTAGTACTTATAAAGCAGATATTAATGCATATTCTACATCCCTTAATCATTCCCAAACTTAACAACTACCTTGCTTACTATTAATAAGCAGTAAATTAGGAGTTTATTGAGGCAAAAGTCATAGTTAAATAGTGTATATGTGTTCCCCAAACTAAAGTTTGACCATAGGTGTTTTATTAAAACAGTTTTGTATGGCTTTACAACAAATGAAGATGCTGCAATGTAACTAATAAGGCATCTTTCAGAGCATCAGAAATTATGCTGACAGAACTACAAAAATTAAGGGTTTTACCTGAAAACCATTTTTTATTTGGCCCTGGGTCCTCTTTTTTTTTTTTTTTTTTTTTTTTTTTAACTCCTTGATCGATTTATTGATTATTCGTTAAATATAGAACAAGTACACAAGTGTGTGATAAAATACCTGTTTTGGTGCTTGTTCAGCCATTAGATACTGCACAGTTTATCTTTTTGGAGTATTTTCAGGTATGTTAGTGTGATTTATTACAGACAATGTGCCTACCTCTGCACATTTTTCATCTAATCTTGGTAGGTTTATCACTTATCAGTAGGTTTATCACTGTTGGATGGTTATTAAAGTACCAAAGCAGGGGTTTATGGGAAGATTTTCCCCGACCAGTGGTGTGTTAACATTGTGTGTGGCACACATTTAAGAATAAATGTACATGTGGTACTGTTTTGGCAGTCTTCAGTATAAAAGCTGCTGTTATAAGGGGATATTTTTGTTCATTGTGAAAGTGTCGATGTTTGTAAATGACAAGTATTTTGTATATCCATATACAGTACTTGTTATATAAATGTATACTATATTACATATTATATTTATGACTTTATCTTAATGATCGATAAATCAAGATTTATGCTGCAAATTGACATATCCTAAATGTCAGTGTGTATTCTCTGATGTCACATTATCATTGTATTGAATGTTTATGGTGGAACACTAGAATCATAGCACTGCCGTTGCTTGTTATGTCTATTCAGACACAATTTGTTGTGTTTCTGTGTCTACAGGGAACTGTATCTTGCAGAATTATAGCTTTTCACAACTAAAGTTTACTGCCAGTGCTAGTGCATCTCCTGCTAGATAAAAACAGTGACTTGGTCGGTCTTTATGGACTCTGTGAAAAAAAAAAAATCTTTTTTTTTTAAGATTATGTCTGAACTTTTAGCATTTCAATGGACTGTGTCATAAAGCTAGATCAACAGGTGTCATTGAAAAAGTAACATTGAGAATACAGTGTATTTTCATTTTTTAACTCCTTATGAAACAGCCCGTTGATTTAAAGAATGTACATGTATGCAATTCTAAAAGACGAATCAGTTGAGAACGTAATGCACAGACATTTATGATGGTTTTTTAACAATATAGTTTGTGCTTAGCTTATTCACAAAGTACAATGAAATTAATATATATATTGGGTTTATTATCTTGGCACTTAGATTGCTTGATATATTTTCATTGTATGTAATTATCCTTGTACTAAATTAGAGTTACACCTATTCTTGATGCTTCATGCAGTACTCTATATTGTTTGTTTGAAAGTGGAGAAAACTAAATGTATTGTTTCTATTTAGTAGTACATAGTGATACTGGTTCTTTGTTTTATTGATCTAATGTGTCCGTAATGACAGGTCATGAACGAGTGTGTGGGAGTAACAGTATGAGTCAATGTTGAGCAGTTTGTATGGGTGTATTGCCTTTGCATGCCAGAGTGTATCTGTGTGCAGATTTGTTACTACTAAATAAATGTACAAGTCTTCAACCTGCTTATGTGATTGATTTGTACTACCTTACAGACAGTTTTACCACATATACAAATGCTATTGCAACTGCTTTATACCTATCAGGGGCAGTGAGCATTGTGAGTATCGCTTGTTCCTGTACAGGTACTGCCAGGGCCTTTAAAAATCTGCTTAGAAGCTAAACTGTTATTGAATGGTGAAGTATAAGAATGATTTTTTTTTTTTTTAAATAAATAATAATTGAGGTCATTTGCATTTTTAAGGGAAAATGAAGTGGATATGCACAGCAGTAACCATCATGCATATAAGTAAGGTAAGGTGTGGTGGTTACATGCAGGATGGTAAGCTTTCTATTTTTGGTCAGTGAAAACAGATCTTAGTAGTATGCACAAAGTATAAAGATGTTTATACACAAAAATAAATAGACAACACTTACAATAATGCATTGCACCAACCAAACCAAGAACAGATAGAGTCACTATACTCTACTGTTCAAAAGTTTGGGGTCAGTAAGAAATTAATATTCAGTATTAAATTGATCAAAAGTGGCAGTAAAAAACATTTGTTACAAAAGTTTTTTTATTTTTAGAAAATGCTGTTGCACTTTCTATTCCTCAAAAAAAAAAAAAAAAATTGAGTTATACAACAAAATGTTTTCAACATTGATAATAAAAAATGTTTATTGAGCCCCAAATCAGTATCTTTGAATGATTACTCAAAAATCATAGAATGAATATAGTAATGCACAGTGATCACTTTCAGAAACCACCACAAAATGGCCTTGGAGCATAATTTAACCCAATGTGGATTAATAATTAATAAAGTCTTTTTTTTAAAGAGGAAAAATGGTGTATGTTCCTGAAAGAATTATTCCAAAGAGCCTTATAAATCAGCCTCGAATAATGTTGTATTGTTTTCTCTGTCACCTTTATTCCCTTTTCTTAACAATAGACCAGATATCATGTCATTCAAAACCTCCTCATATTCTCAGTCACAGTTAACATCACCTCTACAGAGAAAAGCACATCCAGTTTAATGCGTCATAACATTATTCGTAATATTATTTACATCCTTAAGATTGTCATCTCACTGTGGTGTGGCAATATGATCTAAATCAGCGAACAATCAATGAGATGTGAGATCATCCATAAGTTACGTGTCACTGAAACTGCCTCGTCAGTCCAAAGAAATCGTTTGAAAATTGTCCTCTTTGTCGCTCATTTGTGGCTGAGACTCAGGTCCCTGTGTAGCGATTTTTCCGCGTCTGAACTTGTCTTTCCATCTCTGAGTTGCTGCAGGTGACTGGGGGGTCGACACAGGTGTGTGCGCCAGGGTGGAATAATCAGGTTTTTGAGGGAGGGGCTTATTTGAGCGCCGCAAAACAGAGAACCCTTTAGGCTTCTTCTGGGCCTGTTCTTCCTGCTGCTGTTTGAGGAGCTGGTGATGAAGAATGGTCTGTACGTCATCCTGTAAGACACGACACAACTGTTTTAAGAACATCCATGAGGAAAATCAACATGGCCAAATCACATCAATGAGTGTTTTCGGGGGTTTGCAGGAAAACCAGACAGAGTCCAGATGGCAAAACAGGAGTCAGATCCGACAGTCCTGCAGAGATGCAGCCCTAGCAGCTGTTCTCCCAACAGATTACACGACTTACCCCTTGATTACATTAAATAATATCAATCACATACAGGTTTAGATTATATTAATATTGATATGTATTTTTTAGGACAATTTTTTAGGATTTTTCTGTGTTTTTTAATCAGTTAAGCCTATTAAAATTATAATGACTCTAATGTTTCAACAACTAAAATTCACCTTGTCTGTTGAGGTAAACAGGTTTGATTGTTACCACTTTGAGGTTAACTAAACCAGATACAAATAAATTATGAATAAAATCACAAGTCTGTATCAAATAATATATATATTTTAAATTAATATTGATTTTACTTCCTTTTTTAATCTGTCTTATTTTTGCTTTCATTAAAAAGCAAAAGTAGCTAACTTTTTAGCAATTACAATTTGTATCAGTAATTAAAATCTGCAATTAATTGGCATCTTGAGTCTGTTTAAACATACTTTCCAGGCCTCCAGCTCAATGGACAGTTCTAGTCGACTCTGAACAGCTTCCAGAAGTTGGTTGTTTAGTGTCATCATTTCGTTCTTGCTTCTCAATAGCTCAGTCTCCATTGCATGTTTTCTGCATTTAAAAAAGAAAAAACCACAAGAGTTGTCATGACAGAAATGACAGTGTTTGGCATGGGAATGGGTATGAAAATATTGATATTTGGTCTTGGAAGAATAAAACTGCTACGCTGCTGCTGCTGCAGAGCAAATACGAAACTTGCTACAGCCAATACATACACGACACACTGCTGTGAGCAAAACATGTTGTTTCTGTACAATACAGCATACATCAATTACCCATAAAAGATCTATACAGGTTTAGCTGGCGAAGGTGGAGGATTTCTAATTGCTACAGCAAGTGCTGACCAAGTATATGAAAGTTGAGCAGCGAATTCATTGGCTACTGATACAGCAGGAACCAATCAGCTGTGCCCTATAGAGAATGATGATTGCAAGCAGTTTGAGTTAAGGACCTAGCCAGCGCCATCTAGAGTTTCATGATTATATATACTGTATATATATATAATTGTCATCAGATATTTCTGATGTATTTCTGATAGTATTTCAATGTCTTATTTCATTAAAAAAGTCAAAAATTAGTCAAGTGATCAACTGAACTCACTTTGCAACGGCTTCATCTCTGTCCCACAGAGCTTGCTGTAAAATGGCAGCATCTTCCCCAGACCTCTCCTTTCCCTGTCAATGGTAGTAGATTGGTTTTAAAAGGCACATATTATGCTTTTTTTTTATTATACCTTTCCATTAGTGTGTAATATAGCTGTTTTGTGCATGAAAACGATCTGCAACGTTACAAAGCACAAAGTCCACACGGAACAAAGTTACAAAGCCCAAAGTCCAAAGGAAGTTAATCTCTCCAACTCTCTTTGGCGTTTGTTGTCCTGCCATTATTTCTGTGACCCGCCTAATGGCTACATTTGCCCACCCTCAATAAACAGTTGGGTAAGTGATTTCGCTATATTGCTGCGTTACATTTCTGGCACACACTCTATGTGGCTGACAAATCAACAACAGACTGTAGCAGTTGACCAATCAGAGAAGACTGGGCCTTTTTGGAAAGGCAGGCTTTAAAGAGATAGGAACAGAGCGTTCAGGTAGAAGGTAAAAAGAGGTGCTGCATCAATGTAGAGTATAAGAAAAATAATGTTTTTTGAACTTTAAATCATGTAAATGTATTCTAGCAGACCCCAAAAATAAAATTACAAACTTGTAAACGAGAATAATACGGGCACTTAAAGGATTTCTGCAATTGTTCTTAAATTTAAGAAGCATGTGAATGGAATGGTTACGTGAGGCAAATTCAAAAAAGAGGCGTGGCACATATGAGCTGATGGGCGTGGCTAAAGCTCACCTGAGAGTTGTTTTTAAGGGCGAGACTGCGGGCCACCTTCTTCAGCTGAAGCAATGCGGTGTCTAAAGTGTTGGCCTGGGACGGCTGATTGACTTCTGCTGCTTCCAAGTCTGTCAGAGGAAGTAGCAGCTTTACAACAGACTGAACCTCCTCTGCCACCTGACACACCGCAAAAAGATGAAGATGCAATTATGAGAAACCCCGATTGCATAAATTAAATCATAATCCAGTCTGTTAGAAGCTGCCATCACTTATATGAGGGTGTTGTCAAAGAATATTTACAATTGTGGCATGACAAAGTTGAAAAGAAAAAGTTAAGGGTTAGGCCTATGAGACAGAAAGTTCATTTAAAAGCATGCAGGTTTAAGACAGACTCACCCGCTGTCTGTTTTCACTCCAGCCAGGTCCGCTTTCGTTTTGTTGTTCCAGTCTATCCACCTGAGCCTTGAGCCTCAGACTGCGCTGCCGAGATAATGCCACCTCCCTTTTCACATGTTTCAGCTGTAGCCATAGAGAGAGCATTAAATGAGCACAACATTCATGCTCTTTTGTTCATATAGACAATTGTGTGCATGCGTTAATCCACTCAAAGAATGATATCAGACTGACACATCTGCAAACATAAACACATATGTTCTTGTCTCCTTTATAACTTTGCTATTCAGGACAGATGGAATCTTGCCATTCTGGTGAAACTAGCAGGAAACATTCAGAACCAAATCTGAGATGACCATTTGATTTCCGAAAAATGTTTTGACTAAATGTCTAAATTTTGGTGTGACAAAAATGTATTCGTTGTTTTAGTTGTAGTTAAATAGGGATCATTAGGAAAACATTAATAATGGAGCAAGTGAAATCAATATTCCATTGACAGTTTGTCTGGACATGGGTTTGCCTGTAAATAAAGACACTTGTACATTATTAGCTCTGAAGAGTCATGTTGCTTTAAAAAGAATTTGGCTGAATGAAGAAAAAGTGGATAAACATTTGTAAAACAATGATTGGCCATCTGGTCCTCTCATTGATCTCGTCCTTTTGTTGTTTGTTTGCTTCTTCAATTATAACATTTACAATATCTCAAAATGAATAACACTTCTGATGATTTCAATCTGTTATTCTACTGCCCTGGCATATATGTGCTCCTATGTCTCATACTTTGTTTTTACATCATACTAACCAAATAAAAACAAGTATTTAAATGCTTTACATTAAGCTATACTGTAAAAAAAAAAAGTTCCTGCCTTAATATTTTAAGTACAATCAACTTGAGTTGAATCTAGTACTTATAAAAAAAAGTTTAAGCAATGTAAAAACATGTTGTCGTAAATTATTGAACATATAAGTTTTGCAGTGTAGTGAAAGCTGGTTTGAAAACAGTGATTTGTTATGAAAAAAAGAAAGAATTACAGGCTACACTAAATGAAGAAAGTAAGTTTTGTATTTCTCATATAGAGTCTGGGTGAGGATAATCCAAACTGTCAAATTGTTTCAAACTGAACATCTCAAAACACTTTAAAATGAGGAAAATAATAATAAAAGAGATATGAAAATGTAAAGCTGTTAAAATCATTGAACAAAGAAAATGAAGAAATCAAAACCTCTTAAGCATTTATAGACTTTGGCTACGATATAATTCTGTCAAATTTAACATTTTAAAACGCTTTAAATTTAGGAAAAAATAATTAAAGAGATACAATACAAATATATTTAAAGCTATTGAAATCCCCCTTTCTTTAAAATAATATATACGGGACAGAAATCACCATTGTACAGCTAGTTTCCTTTTTTATTTGTCCTTTTGTTCCGTATTGTGAATCACTGTAGTCTACTCATAATAAGCATGCCTCACCGTGGCAGACACCGGGCTGGACACTCGTCTGCGAAGTGGGCTTCCACTCCGGAGCAGATCCGGTAACCCTTCATCTATGTATGACCGAGGGGGCTTGGGGGCCCCGTCCGGGTCAGAATGCTCAGTTTGACCTGTCTCAACTGTATCATTGCTGTTGCCTTCATGGTCCACTACCAGCTGTTCTTGTAACTCATCCAGTGTGGACAGAGGTGAGCTGGTAGACTCTTTGTCCATGTTATTGTCCCGTCTTGAAATCGAATCCTTGTCGTCATTTAATCGTTTGTGCATTTCCTCAGTGGTGAGAGGAGATTCCATGAGGTCATTGAGTGTGCGTAAACTTACTTGTGAACCTCTCCTATAGGTCTCCATTATCTTCTAATAGCGATAAAAGCTAAGCAGCATGTTCTTATTATGGGAGAGACGACTGAAACCGAGAAGAGAGAATGTCTTCAAACCAGTTTTTCCTGCTTTTTGACGCTCAGAAATGTCATGTGTGCGTCAACAATGCTCACCGGGTTCGACATCACAGAGGGTTTTACCTATGGGTCGGTGGCTTTTGTAACCCTTTACGCAGATTAATAGGCTACATGACGAGATGCTCGTGCGTGTTCAGGCACGTCTGTGGAAGAATAAATGATAACGCCCTTTGATTATGTTAGGCTTTGAACAACACACTTAGGCTATCATCATTAAGTCTCCTTAAGAGAAATGTGAGAGCGAGAGAAAGAAATTGCATGCATATTATAAAGGCTAAATGTAATGCTGTTAACATTATCAGATCTGTCTAAAGTAAACAAATGGGCACAAGCTGTTCCGTTTGGCTATGCCCTCACCCTTACTCAAATAACAGCTGGTCTATTTATAAAGCCTAGTAGCCTAGATGGGAACTCCGACTCGTTTCCCCGAATCGGTTCTTTTGAATAGTTTTAATCGAACCAAAAAATAAACGATTCTGTGATTCTTTTACGTAATATTCCCTTTAAAGTAGCCTACCTCAATATATAGCGCTTTTTCATTATTTTTTTATTAAAGTTTATTAATAAAGGTTGTAATTCGATGTGTATTCCGTGATTCAGCAAATACAAATTAGAACTTTGATTTGAACTTTGATAACATTTCAATACAATTTTGAACAGAACAAATGTCAGAAATTTTAAACACGTTTTATGTAGTTATTAGTCTGGGAGAGCAATAATCCAATAGTCTATCCTAGTTCTGTGTAACATTTCAAAACACTTTAAAATTAGGAAAAAATAGGAATACAAATAAAACTATACGCTAACCTTTGAACAGAACCTTTTAAACAACTTCTATGCATTTATTACAAAGGATAGGGAGGGATGTATGTATCTGGAACTGACTGAATCAGTTGGGAGCTACGATTGGTGAAAGAAATGTTCAGACCGACAACCGATTCGACTGATTCATTGAAATGATCTGACTCAGTAGAACGATTCATTAACGAAACCGACATCTCTAATTCATAGGCAACGCTTCTGGACAGAGAGCTGGTGCACTATCAAGGTTGTGTAAAGTATTTTGTTCTTGGTGGTGCTGTAGGCTAACTGAGAGAAGTCTTGTGGACGAGCAAAAGAGCGAGCTGCAACTCGCGCCATAAACACTGAAGGGCGAACCGCTATTAGGTGAGTGAACTCAGCCATTCAAGAATAGAATGTGCTGTTTTGCTTTATAAAACAACACAAAATCATTACGAATTATGAAAAAAAAAACTGAAATTGATTACAAAATTGAATTGTTTTTTAATTACAAATTGTTATAAAATATACACGCGTTTATATTTCATAACAAGTTGACCCTTGACAAAGTTAAACATGGATTAATGTGTTTGTGATCAACTTTAAAAGGACAAAGCATTTGAAGTAGCCTACTGGATTTCTGAATCGTCAGAATGACAAAAGAGGAGGAAAACCCTGAATGGGTTGGTGGTCAGGAATTTTATGACAAATATGAACCAAAGGAGATCTTAGGAAGGTATTATCACCAATATTGATGAAGTTTGTGTGGCATAAGAATATAAAATAAATAACAATGACATTTTTACCTTAAAATTATAATTAGCCTACATATCAGTCCTGAATTGATCTGAATGTATTTTCTCCCAGAGGTGTGAGCAGTGTGGTTCGCCGATGTGTGGACAAACGGACTTCCCAGGAATATGCAGTAAAGATCATAGACATCACACCATCAGATAAAATGACACCTCAAGAAATACTAGAAATCCAGCAGGCCACTGTGAAAGAGATCGACATTCTTCGAAAAGTGTCTGGACAAAAAAACATAAGTATGACTGTCCAGTGGAAGTTCCTCTTGATCCCTCAGAGACTTTTACAATACATATACCAAATATAACATAATATAATGGTGCTATAAAATAGAAAATCAAATATCTTTTAATTTATTACTTTTTTTTTCGTTACAAAATTGAAAATTGTAAGGCTATTTTGGTTCTGCAAGAACAACAAGAACAACAAAAATAAAATAGGATGTCTTTTTCCCCCCATAGTTCAACTGAAGGATTGCTTTGAATCAAAGGCCTTCTTCTTTTTGGTATTTGATCTGTAAGTATGGCACACATACACCATCTCTCATGTCGGTGTCTCACTGTTAGTGGTCACACACCCTTATATAGAGACCCAAGGTATATCTAGAGACCAAAATATTATAGACTTGAGCCAGTATGAAACAAACCTAGCAAACTTTTTGAAATGTCATAGCAAACACCCACAAAACTATAGAATTGTGGTTGCAATTTTTGCAGGCAAACCACAAAAAATCAAGTTTACAGCGGAAAATGGCTCAAAATCAATTGCTCATATTAACGGTTGTGTTATTTACAAGTTTGCTCCCTATTCAGATTTCTAAATGTTCCCATGTGGAGATTATCTGTTGGTTGACACTGCAGCATACAGATAGGACACAGCCTATTCTAAGAGCCCACAACTAACTCATTGCCAAGACGAGGCTGTTTCTGCCAAACGCCCGACTCTCAAAACAAGTGCACAATATCACCCATAATTCCTTCCTTTGTCCAGACACTTATATTTTGAACAGATGCAGTTAGTTTTTCTTATCTTTCATCATTTTATAGGCCTTGACAAGACTGTTTTGTTAATGTTTAAAGATGGATGTTGTTTTAACAGGATGAAGAGAGGAGAACTCTTCGATTACCTCACAGACAAAGTCACCCTAAGTGAGAAAGAGACACGGTCAGCTCCCTTGAATAATCCAATTGTGGAATCTCCTATCATTGTATTTAAACAAACAAATGCTAAAAATCCTATGCTAAATCAAATGCTTTAAGCTGTTGCCAACAACAACAGTGCATCTTGATGGGTTTAAAGTTAGTTATGCCACACTTATGTAGTGTTTTTATACTTCTATTAATTTCCTCATACACTACCATTCAAAAGTTTAATGTTTTTAAAAAAATTATACTTTTATTCAGTAAAGATGTATTCATTTGATCAAAAGTGACAGTAAAGATATTTATAATGTTACAAAAACATGCTGTTCATTCTTAAAAAAATATTTCAACATTTTAATAATAATAAATGTTTCTTGAGCAGCAAATCAGCATATTAGAATAATTTCTGAAGCATCATGTGACACTGAAGACTGGATTAATAATGCTGAAAATGTAGCTTTGCCATCACATGAATAAATTGCACTTTAAAATATAATAAAATAGAAAACAGTTATTTTAAATTGTGATAATGATTAACTGTATTTTTGATCAAATAAATGCAGCCTTGTTGAGCACAAGAGACTTCGTGCTGACCACAGACTTTTGAACGGAAATGTACATTACAACTTTAATCCACTGTAACTGTTGTATTAACCTTAGAGGTAAGATCTTGATTATTGTCACTCAGTTTTCTCTTCTCTCACTCTTTGATAGAAAGATCATGCGCGCTCTTCTGGAGGTGGTTGAGTATCTTCATACCCACAATATCGTCCATCGTGACCTGAAACCAGAAAACATTCTGTTAGATGATGATGTGAATATCAAACTCACTGACTTCGGTTTCTCGATCCAGATTGAGCATGGACAAAGACTGAATGGTGAGTTCTTATGAACACCTTTAAATGTAAGCATTCGGATTGCAGATATTGTAGTTTAGAAGCACCTGCCTCTGTTTCACCCCTATAGAAGTTTGTGGAACACCAGGTTACTTGGCTCCAGAAATCATTGAGTGCTCCATGGATCTCAACCACGCTGGCTATGGGACTGCTGTTGACCTGTAAGCACATAAAATAAGTATGCATCAGTGATATTTTAGTATAGTATTAATTCTTTTAAATTAGCCTTTATTGTTAATTTTAAAGCATTAGTTCACCCAAAAATGAAATTTCTTTCATTAATTACTCACTCGTTCCAAGCCCGTAAGACCTTCATAAGACCTTCCCCCGTAATAATAACGTTATTACCACCAAGACAATGGGGGGGGGGCACATTTTTTATTTTTGTTTGAAGTTTTTCATGTAATATTTACATATTTTTTCAGCTTTTTTAATGAACAAAAATGCTTTAGAACACTTAGTTTTAGTTAACAACACTGGTGTGCATAAGCCACGCATAAACACATGAACTTCCTGGCAGTGACAGTGAACCATGAATTGATTCTTACATAACCTTCTTCGGTCTTCTCTTGTGTAGATGGAGCACTGGCGTGATCTTGTACACTCTTCTGGCTGGATCTCCACCGTTCTGGCACAGGAAACAAATGCTGATGCTTCGAATGATTCTTGCAGGGAAATATGAATTCAGTTCTCCGGAGTGGGATGACCGCTCAGACACTGTCAAAGACTTGGTGTGTGTTGGTTGTTTTAATTCGTTGTGGTCCTGTTCGTCTTGCCGACAACCAGTTTTGAAAGAACTTATGCAAAATTGCATGGAGAAAAAAAGTCAACTTGTTTTCTTCCCAGTAGATTTCCAGATTATTAGTTGTGGACCCGCAACTTCGCTATACAGCTACAGAAGCCCTCAATCACCCCTTCTTCCAACAGTACAGGGCCGCAGAAGTTCGTCATTTCAGCCCTTACAGGAAGTTCAAGGTAAAGAGCAGATGTTCTAGATGATTGTTCTTAGAAAGCATTGACTTAGAGGTTTTGAGTGTCACCCTACACATTGCAGGTTATTTCTATGACCGTACTTGCCGCCATGCGCATCTACTGCAACTACCGGCGTGCCAAACCTGTGACCAAGGAAGTGATCTGCAGCGACCCGTACGCCATCAAACCTCTACGCAAAATGATTGACGCATGTGCCTTTAAGATCTACGGCCACTGGGTGAAGAAAGGGCAAACTCAGAACAGAGCAGCTTTATTTGAGAACACTCCAAAAGTCATTCTGCTCTCTATTGCAGCTGAGGAGATGGATGTAGCACACAGGACTTGGTGAGGGTTCATCATCTCCAGTTACTACTAGATACCACAATTTACCTCAAGACCATGTTGATAACGGTCCAAAAATAGACCTCTATTGCTATGACAGCATATCAGACCATATTATTTACACAGTGAGAAGGAAACAAGTAAATTATCTTCCGGGGCCTTTTATTTCCTTTTAAATGCTAAACAAGTCAAACCAATAAAAATGTATGGTATTATTTAATACAATTGCATTTTAATTCCATTACATGGTTTCAATTTTATATCTAAAATGATTTTAATGATTAGTGAACAACTATAAGATAGGTTAAGATTTTAATTTCACAGTATTTTGTGGAAAAAAAGCAGATACAACACTGAATTACAGAAGTTTATGTCTCCACGGGAGAAATGTAGTATCAATCCCATAATGCACCAATGGCATCAACTTGTCTTGAACATTTGGCCCTTAAAGCTCAGTGCTTTTCTGTTTTGCATTTGAGCTCATTGCACAGCGGAAGCCCAGGTTATCAGAGGCTGAATCTGGTGTGTTTCCCATCCTGCATGTGAGAACATAAACATAAGCTTTAGCAATTGTTAATGGACCTGCTTGGGATCAATTGGAACTAGAATTGGAATTGGAACAAGAAGCACTAATAAAAGTCTAATAAAAGCTGACTTTGAGTAATATGCATATAGCATGACTGACCTAGTGGTGACACGAGCTCTGTGATTGGCTGAGCCATCGGCAGTGTCAATCCAGGATGCTCCACGCAGGACGTACATGGTCTGAGCACCAGGAAAATTTGACGAGGTCCACTCCCAGACATTACCCAGCATGTCATATAGTCCTGGCAAAAGGTGGGATATTATTCTCAAAATTCAGAACAATAGTTAGAGAATTACAATACAGTTCAAAAGTTAGGGGTAAGTAGGATTTTGTTTTTAAAAGAAATTAATACTTTTTTTCCTGCCAGGATGCATTAAACTGATCAAAAGACATTTATAATGTTACAAAAGATGTCTATTTCAAATAAATGCTGCTCTTCTGAACGTTTTATTCATCAAAGAATCCTAAAAAAAATGCATCACAGTTTCCACAAACATTTTAAGCAGCACAACTGTTGGTGAGCAGTACATAAAAAAAAAAAAAAAAAATTACCAGCCCCAAACCTTTGAACATTTAGGTCGATTTTTTCCTAGGTAGCTTTGTCTCCGTCTATGAATAACGTATATTGTTGTTGATAATATGTGACGCACCAGAAATTGTAACAGCTCATGTGCCGTGTGTCGTACCCTACCATAGTTATTCTGTGGAGGATAGGCAGTTACAGGAGCTACACCATGATAGCCATCTTCTCTTGTGTCCCCATCTGGAAACAGGCCCTTTTGTACAAAGAGTTTGCAATTTACCAACAGGCTAATGACTTCAGAACTTACCAAATATACACAAATATACACTTCTCATTTAGGAAATGGACAAGAATATCCCTCAACTGACCTGCCAGAGGTTAGTCCGGTTCAGCAAAAACTTGTTTCCCCATGGGTATGTCCTGCCTGAAATACACAAGTGCTGGCGATGAAGGTTGCAATACATAAAATGATGCATAACAGGTGGACAATACTGCATTATTTTGGTGCTGAGAGGCACAAGGCTTTTTTGGCTTGCCTTCTAGACCCCCACGTGCAGCCATTTCCCACTCTTCCTCAGTTGGCAGCCTTTTCTTCTTCCACTGACAGTAAACTTGGGCATCATTCCAGCTGACCTGCACCACAGGGGATTCCAGTCTGCCCTTGATACCAGAGCCTGGTCCTGCTGGCTGCACACATTTAAACCAGAGACTTCAGACATTCATAAAGTTCGACACATTTTTATATCATGTAATACATTTATCTTTATAAAATGTGACATTGACGAAAATGTCTGTGAAGATATTATCAGACTACGCTTGAATATCTCAAAGAAATGCAATTTAATATATAGAATATTCATTTCTTTATCCTTTTATTCATTTTTATTTACAATTTATCAATCAATCAATAACAATAAAAAAATAATATATTAAAGCTGCAGTCGGCAAGTCTGGCAGATTGAGTGGATTTAGGAAAATTTTTGAATGTTTACAACTCTCATGCCCCTCCCCCACTATCAACGGATACCCTCCCAACGAGTTCATGCTCGTCAGTGCGTGTGCACCAGATTTTCAGTGAACGCGCCCGTCTCATCAGCATCCATCAACACCATGGATTATTTGGAGGTATGCTGTCCTGGCTAATCTATTGATAGATTGCAATTGCTAACGTCATTTATACTCTAAATGAGCTTACTTGATTTTCCGCCATCACTCTTCGTTACTGCGCGAACTTCCGCGAACTTCAGGCGTGTGCATGTGATTGTAACGTGCGCGAGGGGTGGCGTGTGCCCGATCTATGATTGACAGTCAGATCTCACACCCCCCTGCGCTGATTGGACCCGATGAACCGGGAGCTGTGGATTTTTGCAAAACAAATAACACGCTCCAGGTGGAGTTAGAAGCTCGGGTTTTTTCCTAAAACCACTTTATTTATGTTGTTCTGTCAGATTATAGTGTCGATTTCACTGAATATAATAAAAAAAATTTTGCCGACGGCAGCTTTAACAAATACTGGTCGACCACTAATTGAAGTTGTTTATAATTTTTTTAATTAATCAAAGTATTTCAAAAGTCTAGTGAATTACATGCATATAGAATGTTAACTGTCACCTGTCTCCAGAACACTTTCTCGACTGGTAACCACCAAGGCGCAGACTAGGAAAGAGGAATGGGGTCATTTTCAAGAGAATAGAGGGTAGTACAAAAGACAGTGTTTTGGAAATAGAATGGAAATTCCCATTTAAAAACTTTGAAAAACGTTCCGCTCCTGCTGTGGGTTCATACCTCAATTTTCTGAGTGACCTTACTTTTCAGTTCATCTGAGACAAAATCCTGGAACACAAAACTCCAACCAAACGTTTCAGCCTCTGTTTTATATTTCTGCAATCTGGCGAATTCCCTGGAATAAACGGAAGCAGTTGTATCAGGCCAGTAAGAAGACACACACGCAGTAGGAATACAAAGTGTGATGAAATAGACCAGATTAACCTCTACGTTTAAAAAGTATATTTGGGCATCATATGGTGCATTCCTAAAAAAGGCTGCTCACTAGGTTTTGAGCCAATATCTTCAATTACAAGTACCTGAAGTCAGAGTTAGTGACAGGATATTTGTCCATCTGAAACGGCAGGAGAGTCACAGCTCGTGTTGGTGATTCCCCATCTCTCCCATCAGCGGCACTGGTTCCCATCATCATTGTTCCACCAGGAATAAACACCATCTCATCATCTGCTAAAACAATTCAATCTTAAACAAGTGTCTACTTACAGCAGATGCTTGGTCCACTCGATTTTCACTGAAATATCACAGATGAATGTTTCAACTATAAGAACCTTTATGTCCCAATAGATTTTAACTGTTTTCTTTTTCTTTCTTTTTTTGTTATATGAAAGTCACAGGAAAACCATATTGGAAACTTTTATTTTTATTTTGCTACTTAAATGTCTTTTATGTATTGATTTTGTTTTATTGTACACTTGCCCCAGACACAAAAATATTAGCAAAAATAGATATTGTATAAACATTTATGTGTGTGTGTGTGTATTATGAACATAAATTACACCCCTCATTGGTGTTGTTGTCATTACAACCAACAGTTTTTTATTTTATTATAAAGTTTGTACTTTTTAATCAAAATGACAGTCTGTGCAGAGCTGGAGATGAAATGTGAGACATGATGCGTGAAGATAAAAAAAATATGACAGAATACCTTTATTGAGCATCAGTTGTAATTTTGTGTCATTGGATACATATGTCAGCTATTAAAACTACTTATTTTTTATGACAGTGATGGGTAATAACACGTCACAGTTTTAACGTAGTAACAAATTATGTTTCTATAAAGTATTTAAGCAAAGTAATAAAAAAGCTATAATTTTGGGGCTTCCTCCTACCTGCTGCACTGGACATGGTGCACAATAATACGAGATATAAGGTCTCCAAAAAGATCATCATGATAAATATAAAGGCACGTGATGGGCAGATTCAGCCCAGTGTCTGATTTATCAAACTAAAAACACAACAAGCACATTAGAGTTCTTCTTAAAGCATGAAAAATGTGGTCACCAAGTCAACAACGACACTGAGGTTCAGTCATTCGGTTTAACTCGCCTGACTGTCACTGAATCTCGTTGAAAAGTGTTTATCGCCACCTATTGGTTTGGAGAAAGACGTATATAGTCGCACTGTATTCCCCTCTCCATTGTTCTCACTGATTTCAGTTTTTGTCACAGTCTTGTCACACTTATTGCTCAGCTATTATTAATATAATAAGTAACCTTCTTTTTACTCTAATAATCAACAAATTACTATCATTACTGTATAATGATGGTCACAGAAATGGAGATGCAAATTCTCATGCATGCTTGAAATATATCTCATTTCTCCTCGGCTACAGGACAATTGAAGTAAAAACTGTTAGCTTAAACTTGTCATCCTAAACAGATATTGATATATCTGATATTCATAATATCTTAAAATTAGGTGTTTTGTGGGTAAATGTTGATTCATCATGACCATGCTTCAGGCTGGCTGAATGTTTTGTCTGAGCTTGACTTGAATGCAGTCTTGTGTTATACCTCATAGCAATGCTGTGAAATTCTCAGACCCAATTGTCAAGAATCATTGTGAAAAGCAACATTGTTGTGAGCATAGGACATGCTTTAGCCACAGCAGTTTGAAGAGCGCATGAATGAGGCATTCGGCTGCTGGACTCCGTGAGACAGTGACCGTGAGAGATGTTCATGATGGGACTACCCTGGCTGCTAGTTTTGGAGCTTGTCCTTTACGCTGGTTGTTTCATCTGTGGGGTGATAGCTGCCGCCTGGATGACACTCACTCAGGTAACACCAATTTATTAATATCAACTACACAATGTCTGATCATTTTCTAAGTTGTGGACACTGAAAGTATAAAATGAATCATTATTGCTTATAGAAAACTACAACCAGCTCTCTGGGGGAATGTGATTTACAATAAGTTGGTGTCTGATCTGAGTTCAGAGTTTTAAGTATTAAAATGATCATGGATAAAGTTTTGCATATTTATTTGCATGCTTTTGTTATACATTCAGCTGATGTTAAAATGTACTGTAACATATGATCATTCAGCATGTTGGAATGTTTATTGAAGTGGACACTATTTTCTTGCTTTTTTGTGTGAAGATGAATTAATTTTTAAATAAATGTCAATGTTTATATAAATATATAATATCTATTCAATGTTGCTGATCCCAGGTCAGACTCTGAGCTTTCACCATGTGATCAGACACCTCTCGCACCATATTATGGCTTATTAGAGTCATATGATAAGGGACAAAAGCTGTTATCACAGCACTTTCCTTATACATCTGTGTGTGTCACAGAGATACAAATCTTGTACATAGTTTGTGAAAGAGACCCCTAGATGTCCCTTTCTACTGTGTTTCCATATATTTAGCATGTGCAAATGTGGATGATTTTTATTGTTTGTCTTTATAGAGCCACTTTGATGGGCGGTGCATCCTCTATGGAAGTGTTCATTATAACACATCTGGCCAGGCTCTGACCGTGGAAGGCACCAGTTCTCCTTCTCTCTGCTATTTTGTGTCAGCCATCGCCGTGTGCATGGCTATTTACTGCTTTTCCCTTATTCTTTACTGGATCTATGTCAGCTGTGTGGATGAGGATGTGAGAAGGTGAATGTATCACCTTTTCTGCTGACCTTCAGATTTGTCCTATTTCTTTTAGATGTTTCTTTCACATTCCACTTTCTTTTATTCATGCAGGTTTCAACAGTTAAATTAACATTGTTGTTTTTACCTTCTTGTGTCTGGAAATATTTGCATATATACGCAGGGGGACTGTTTCTCTCAACACGTCTCTGGGAGTCTGTGGCCTACTTCTGTTTTTTCTCTTGGTGTCAGGATGTATTCTCAAGATCGGTCGGGACAGCCTGTGTTTCTCTGTCCTTCACAATGTTCCTTCCATTACCAGGTGATTTCAACTTTCTTCTTTCCACATTACGTGTGTGACTTTTGTTACACCTTTTAAGAACCAAATACTCCACAGTGCTTCATAGTTCTCAGATGATATGGTAGCAATAGTATTTAGCCCCTAAAGAGACAATCATGGAAAAATTATATCTCGATGTGCACTGCTGGAAATGTTTTTGTTTTAGTTGTGAAGATGCAGAGAATAAGACATGGGCTCATCCATACACTGGAAATCAGTTCTACGCAGGACTGTACAGTACTGAGGTTAGTACTTTGGTTATCACCCTCGTGGTTATATCTCTCATGGTGGTTGCTATATGTTGAGAGCACATGACCTGTCAAAAAGAGCTTCATCTTGTTAACCCCCATTATCAAACACTTTCAGTTGCAAAAAAATTTAATTATGGGTGACAAATACACCTGTGAATAGGGTGTTTCTCATTGGCCTCTGTAACCGAAACCTTTGATGCTGCATCCACACCAATAGGTGTTAGTGTAAGCGTGCACCTTAGTGTTTCTTCATTTACACAAAATCTGTTTTTATTTGTATACAATAGAAATACATGTCTTCTGTTTATTGAGCACCACCGCCTTTGTTTCTCTCCTCCACAGAGGTCTATGTGGGTAAGCTTCTTCTTCTGGGTGTTGATAACGGCCGTGGTGGTCATACAGAGACGCCAGAGCTCAAGGTTGAAGGTTTGGGGTAATGATGAGTGGAGCCGTGCTGAGACGGAGCCCTTCCTCCATCGCCCATCCCAACCAAGATAAATCACCAGAGACCATCATCACATGAGCTAATCATGAAGTATCATGCAGAGTTTGGTACATTCAGTTATGTGGGAACACAAGCAGTAACAAAATACTTCATGTTTTTGTGGCAACACTTGAATTTTTATTTAATTATCCACATAAATAGTACATTGATGTGGTAGCTACAATAAAATACACTAAATTTAAAGATATGTCCAGAGAGCCAATAGATATAAGAACATGTCATGATGGATAAAAAACAAGTCAGTCATCCATTATTGTAAAATAAAGTAATCAGGAATCTCATTGTTGCAAAATAATCAGGAAAGTAATCCTCAAAATGAACAAGGGGTCTCCTCTATACCCTGAAGGGGTTTATCCTGTTTACTACATATTTAGCAAATAAATAAATAAATGAAATACAATTTTAATTTGAGTTTAAATTATTTATGTTGAAATTGAGTGCAGTACTGAGTGCTATGAGATATAAAAGTAGCACAGCTTGCTATATGAAATCGCTTGCCTTGAACAAGTCAATAATTATTATAATTATATATATATATATATAATTATTAGTATATATACATTCATTTTTGTTATCAAAATTAATGTATAACTTTGATGAAAGGTTTTGATCCACTTCAAATGTTGACTACTATCTAGGCTATAGCCTATACTGTATATATCATACAGTCATGTAACACTGACAGTACAATTCTGACTGGTAACATTTGACATGTTAAAATAAGAGCAAAATGTGAAGATGTGAAGGGGATCTGTATCCGTATGTATGGCAGTGCCTTGCCAAGTTGAAAATTGCAATGAATGATTAATTTGTGTTCTCGCTAATAATACTGATTTTTTTTTTTTTTACAAATGTCTGCTGTGGAGTGTTTAGAAGATTAAAAGAAATGGTAGACATTTAAATTCGAAGAGTGTCATTTCTACCCCACCAGCATCACAAAATTGAAGAACTCGTTTCGTTACGATTTTCTAAGGTAGGCTATGATAGATTTTCCCTATCAGCTACTAGTCGAGCAAACAGTTCCACCGCAAACTGACACATCTGTCGAGCGATGGTTTTCGTGTCGGGATTTTACTAGAAAAATTTGTACTATTTAGGCCTATTAGTCTACGTCATTTTAAATTTCATTCACTTTGAATGGCTGGACAGGCTATTTTCCCGCCGTGTTTCAGAGCTGTTTGCTTAGTTTGCGAGCCTGCCTCTCTTTGGCCTCAAACGCCACCTTAGTGTCCATCAGAGTTTCCAGCGCTTTGCCGATCTCAGCCATGTCCTGTTGAAGCACCTCGCTTTGGCCCAGGAGACTCTGGCTCTCCTCTCTCAGCTGCTCGGCTAGGGCGGCCATCTGCGCGCTCTCCTCCTGACACTTCGCGTGCAGCTCAACAGCCAATGAGAGCAAACCCTCCGCGTGGGAGTCCAGCTGCTCCTTCGACATCCTGTTGTTCTTCACCTCACAGCTGCTTCACTCCACGCCAAGTCCAGTTGGATTGTGAAGTGAGAAAAAATTATCCAGCAAGAATATTAATATTTTTAGTATTTCAAAACCATGTTTAATTATAACATTCATAGGCTATATTTGTTGTGAATAACATTATTTTTGTGAATAGGCTATCATATTTTTTGCCATGGTGGCCGTTGGGTAAACAAGTGAACACAAAACATACAGGAAAGGGTCAACAAAATAATGAAGCTAGTTTTAAAGGAATAGTTCACAGAAAAAAAAATCTGTCATCGTTTACTCATCCTCAAGTTGTTGTTAACCAGACAGTTGACGGTAGCCAATGACTGTCTTACATAGTATTTTTCAATGGCTACCGTCAACTGTCTGGTTCCAAAATTCTTCAAAATACCTTCTTTTGTGTTTAACAGAAGAAAGAAACTCGTACAGGTTTGGAACAACTTGATGGTGAGTAAATGATTTTAAACTGTTTTGAACTATCCCTTTAAGCTAAAGAGACGGTAACCTATAAGTTAGCCATATTAGACAAATGTCAGGTTGGGGCAGGTTGTCACACGTTTAGATGTTAGAAATTTATACAGCATTACACAGCAAAAAAAAGAGGCTTTGTCATTAATTATTTTGTGTTTTATAAATGTTTTACAGTTTAAAATAGTTAATTGATGAGTTGTGTTGTGACAACCTGCCCTTTTGATCACACATAAAAGGTTAACATGTTCAATGAGCTGTTCACTACATAGATTTGAAGACGTACCTACACTGAAAAATAGGCCTACTGCTAAAGTAAAAAGTGGCAGTTTAATAATAAATGGATTTGGTTCTGACAATTATTAGACAGATTCAAATGCATGCAGTCCTAATGATCTATAAGTAAAAGGGTATTTGAAAAGTTGGTTCTCATCACTGTCACTAAAACAACATGCTCCGTGTCTCTGTGACCTAAATCTCTGATGGCAGAACTAGTCTGAATCATCAGGCTCAAGGGAGGTAACAAGCTGCTTAGTGAAAAGCTTATCTGAGCGCCTGCACTGTTACTTGACTTCTCTTAAGAGTAATATAAAAAAAGAACATATTCAGCAATGCAATTAAACATTTTTTTTTTATAGCTAGCAAAGGCAGTGGAATGGCATGATGATTGGAAATGGATGCCTAACACTCAATTCCAGTGTGTAGCAATTATTTTTTGCTGAATCAAGCATTTATAAGGTCTTCCTGCTATGTAGGCTATACTAAGTTAAAATGTCAATCTAATTAACTGAGTAATGTCATTCTCCTCAATGAAGGAAATGTTTGAATATTTTTTGTTTGACTTACCAGGTCTGGATAGGGTCCTTTTATATCCACCACAGACACTCTCCTTTGGCTCTCTCTTACTTCCTCTATTATTTGTCAGCTGCATTGTGGGACACTGCTGCTCTGTCCTTCAAACCCAGATTATGAACCGAGGGAGGGAGAGGATGGAAGGACGACATGCTAACAAGTATAATTCCCGACAAGCAAGATTCCAGACATTCCATGCAATTCAATCAATTATGTTTTTTGGACCAATACTGTATTCGGTTTTTAAAACGTTTTGTACTTTTCCTCATAGTAAAACTTCCAAGTCTCAATAGGGTTCGTTGCGAACACCACCACTAGGAGGAACCATTGGCCAAACACATGTGATTTAAGCCTGTAGTGTAGCACGTGGTCACTCACCACACATTAAGCATGACATTTGCTCACCCACAATGAAAATCCCAAGAGAATTTAAAACTCGTTGGAAAAATGGTTGTGCATCGATGCCATAATGTAGTCAAATAATATACATAACAATTTCACTGTATAAAACACTGTTAAGCATGTCTCTAACAAGAGTGTATGCGTTTGCCAAGTCTGCATCGATCCAACCCTAAAAACAACTCTGGTCATTAGCCTAGAGTTACTGAGACTAAATCCAGAATTTCACAGCATTATTAATTGATACCAAGGATCATTCAAAGTCAAATGAAGCATCTATGACTTTCAGGTTCTATCAAAACTATAAAACATCATAACACTATGACTATGAGTTATTATTGCATAAATTGTTTGTTGTGATGGTAAGGACATCACATGCAAATCAGTACAGGACAGTCTTTATTCTTTTAATATATTATCTCCTGTGTTGTTCATCTGTACCTGCAAGTTACTTTAATAACTGCAATAAGTTTAGCAACAAGTCAAACAATAATTAATAATAATGATAATAAAGCAGTCAGTAAACACACTGTTAATGGTTTGACTTTATTAATAAGAGCATCATGGTCATGGCCACTGTAATCATTTCCTCATTGCTGAAAGATATGCTAGTGCTTGTTGAAGTATTAGCAGAAATTCTACAAACAATACAGGGATGCTCTTGGTGTGTGCTTTGGACTTTACCTTTTTTGTAATAATCTCCTCTCCGTGTGCAAGGCTGTTTATACATTCGTTCCTTCAGCGTTTCCAAGGACAGCTTATTTTAACTCGATCCCTGCACTGCTTGTATAGTAGGTGACACTTTGTGCTTGTGCTACACATATATTTTTATGCTTGTTTGCTCTTCTATGTGCATATCAACAATGTGACTACATGGGGTGGAGGATTGTTGCACTACTTTGTATCTTGAGTAGTCTATTTTATCTATTATCAGTAGTTGTTTTACACTGAAACGAGCTTAATCCAATATGTTAAACATTCTAACAGTCTAGGGAGGAATAAAAGAGTATTGGATAGATATACCAACAAGAATACTAAAGGACAATGGTTTTATAAACATACTAATGAAAATCTAAAAATGCAAAAAACTTTTTGTGAGTGTTAGTTTTAAGGGTAAGAATAGAAAAGATCATTAGCTTAGTATAAACCCAAAAGAAGTCAATGGAAGGTCCCCACCGTGATAGAAAAGCAAATGTGTGTATGCTGGGTAATAAAGAGGAATACATTGAATTGCTGTTACTGTCAGCTGGCTGCAGTAGACACGAGGCTGACATAAGAAACCTCTAAGGCAGAGATAAGTGAAGTCATAAGCACCGTGCTTCTACCAGGCAATTAAAAAGAACGAGATTAAAAGAAGTCATTAGCCAGGACAGTGGATTAAAGCACAGTGTCAAACAGTGAGGGATTACAATTCACCAGCCTACATTCACTCATTGATCTTTTACCATCCCTTTTTATTAGGTCTATTATTTTTATTTTTTTGAAACTTTTCCCCCTGAGAACCAGTTGGTTTTGCTTCTGTCAGATCTACCTTAGTTGTCCATCTGATTTTTGATTCTTCTTTCTTTCTAATGTATATTAAAAAACTTTAATAAATGCAGTTCACATCTCAGTCCCTTTTTACGTAAGCTACTGGTACGTTGTATACGAATGGATTTACAATACTACACCAGCATGGGCTGTTTCACATTAATGCAGAGTCGCAAAAACTGCTTTGCAATGTTAAATGCAGGTTGCAGACGCCCCGCTTTTCATGTAAAGTACATTACTCCCATAGTCAAAAGGAGGACACACTGACCTTTGAGTTTGTTATGGACATGATATGCCAGAGATTTCAATAATAGGACATTAAGATCAATATAGGACACTGATGTTCCATGCCTATCGGTATTTTCTACTAGGTATGAACTACATATATATTTAGGGTCAGTCTGTATCAAGTCAATTGACATTGATATGACATGACCAATGTGTATTATTTTCATTTCAATCCCTACAACATTCTACACATTCATGAACAGTTGTTTTTCAGTGTTACACGGAGACACAAATCAGTCTCTTTGGGTTCAACTTTTCTACCCTGGTTCTGGTAAAAATTCTCATCTCTTCTTCAAATTTCTCGATCTCCCTGTCTCTTATCTGCACCTCAGATGTCAATCTGCCTCTACTTTTCAAAAGCCACTTCATACATTCTTTACACCATATCGGTTCTTTTAACCTGTGTCAATGCCATGCCCCCCATGGCAACTCTCTTCTCCGTGAATGATTAACACCGGAAAATACAGAGCGTCTTGGTAAGTTGGTGGCCTGTCTCTCTCATCCTCCCTGGTCTCTCCGTTCTCCCTCTCCTCCACTTGTTCCTGGCCTGTCTCCTCCATGTTGTCGTCTTCTAGCCCTTCATTCTCTAATACACCCCTCCTCTCCTCATCTGGCACTCTAAACCCAAGACCAAGGAAACCCCCACCGCCCTCTTCCAGCCGGCTGCTCATCCCACCTCCGAGGCTTCTCGAGTGAAACAGGCAGGGATGGCGGCTTCTTGCGGTCTGTAACCGGCCGAGAGAGAAACCACTGCGACTAAGGGACAGCCTGCCGCCGGGCCTAATAGGGAATGAGTTTGTCCCTGCAGCCACATTCCCTCTAACCCAGGAAGGGAGCGAGGAGCTGCTCGTTGAGGGCCGACACCTGGGGCAGCTCTGAAGAAAGTAGCTAGAATTGCGTCGCATACGTGCTGCCATCGCGACCGATAACGGTGTGTTTGTATTCACATCCAAATCCATAAGCAAGGCCTCAGAGTAGCTAGGCACCATTTGCTGGTTACAGCGTATGTGCCATTCCAGTTCGGTCATATCCACCGTGTTGACCCGTGATATGATGCGCAGAGTGGGACCCCCGGTGCCATGCTCAAAGCCCGTACAGTAGTTCCCCGTCTCCGTATTATCATTGTCATTTGCATCCTCGTTCTCGCCGAAAAGTTTCTCGACGTGGTAGTGGACGTACGCTGTGCGATACTCGGCAATCACACGAAGAGGCCACGATAGCAGGAAAGCCGAGGCCAGCCAGTACACCCAGCGTCGGGTGTACCAAGGTGGGCGCAATGGGTTGGGGAATGCCAGCATGTGTTCCCGAAAGTCAACGTTTTTAAGGTGCATACCCTCCCGTGCTTCCATGTAGTCGTCCAGACCCTCGTTGTCCCCGAAGAAGCGCGCTCGCTGCGTGAGGTAGGCGGTCTCAGCACGGGCGCTGGCGAAGCTGAAGCACTTTGTGAAGCGCAAGCGGGTGACGGGATGCTCCAAAAGGCCCTGCAGCTCCTTCGAAACGTCTTTGACCCCGAGGCGCGAGTAATCGAACTCTGAGCTCGCTGCATGTGTGTTGACCCGTTCATGGTACACCTGTGTAGTAGTGTACGCGTCTCCGTTTCGGTAGCGCGTCACCTGTCTGGTACGTCGTACGTAATGGTAGCTGATGGCCTTCCACCAGATGCAGGGTGTAGCTTGTTGCAACCGCTGTATCCTGTCATACACCTCACTGATTTCCACCTTAGCAAGGTTAGCTGTTTTTGAGTAGCAGTGCCAGCACTCCACCAAGTAGACAATGTACAGCATGGCCAGAAAGGCTACGGGTATATAGATGTAGCCGTTGGAACACGGGCTGTCATGATAGAGTCGGGCTCGGTCTCCGTAGAAGTAGGCGGGGCCTTGGTCATCAGAAGCCATTACGGTGATGCGGTACAGGGAGCACCAGCCTAGCGTGCCAAAGCATCCGTACATGAGCAAGGTGAGCAGCAGGCACTTCCAGTGGGACTCTCGGCACAGCGACCCACTCAGGGACTGCTTGAGGGGACGCTGCTATAGGCAGGAAGGGGGGGATGTGGATGAAAATATGGGACGACCAAGGGACAGAGGGTTGTGCAGATGGATAGGAAATTGATTGGGGCAGGGTTCAATAAGAGTCGAGTTGGAAGGTGTTGGACAGAATGGAAATGAAAAGATGCCAGAGACAAAAGAAAGCAGAGGGGAGCATTGGGGGGGAGAGAACAGAAGGGACAGGGAAAGAAAAAAAGAAAATGTAAAAATTAGTTGGCAGAAAAGCATTACACATGCTGATAAAAATGCACATGATACATTTGAGTTAATCTTATATGTAAATTATAATGAGAAAATTTGTATTTCAAATGTAATTTTTTTGCCACTTTCCACAATAAATATTGTTCTAAAGCAAATTCGCTATGCTTTAAGCTACAGTGGTGAGGGAAACCTCCCTAGAAAGATACAACACAAGCACAAATCCTTGAAGGTTTGAGTGCTGCAAGAAAGGAGAGAGATGTTTTTTTTCCACAAAATGATATGCCGTTTTGCTTTTATTTCATACTTTAAAAAAAAGTAGGCCAGCCAATAGAATAATCACTGTTAATCTCATGAAGTCAGAGCATTCTAAAAAAAAAAAGGCAGTATTGTACAATTCTTTTACTTTCTTAATGCATTTTTGACACTTATATTCTACCCATTTTTACGGACCCACTAGGACCCCTTTGTGGCCTCCTGGCTCTAGTTTGAACCCTTGTTTTAGAGGATTCAGGGTACAGGTATATTTCATTTGTGTTACAACATGCACAACTGAGTGAAGCACAGTCTGTTATATCCACTCTGACATGCTGCAGAGAGAACTCCGTAATAGATCATTCTCCTGAGGGCTGAATACATTTCCTGGCTGCTCGTAACCCAAACCATGTCTCCTTTTAAAACGCTCTGTATGACTGTGGAGGGGAAGTCTAGAAGCTTTTAGACATCACTGAGTGCATCATCTCGACTAAATGCATATGGATCTCTACTGCCTAGTCTGAGCCCAGTGGTGGCTTGAGGTATTGTGGCCATATGGGCAAAGATGAACTGATTCCAAAGTAGGAGGAGGTAGAAAAGAAAAAAAGCAAGCCATACAGTTCCTCTGACACGTGAACAAAGGTATTGCACAAAAATATTTTTTATGGTGGCTCTGCAATATTTTATTTTTTCGTCCCCTCTTTGTCCTTCTTTTCTCCTGTCTCTTCTCTAACAACATCACTCTCTCTCACACACACACTTACACATAAATCAGCTAATAGTACGAGCAATGCCCTTGCTGTGAGAAACTGCAGCACTAAAAGCAGGCTGCAGCCCAAGCATGACATGGAGTCTGTGCTCCTCTTGGCAGGAGTTTAATTGTTCCTTTTACAAGGACGAGAGCAAACTGAGAGAGATAGAATTAGGGCCTACAGTGTGACTTACCAAGTGCACAGGCTAATATCTACACATGTTTTTAATAATGATGACCTGAAGCAAAAAAAGCATGATAATATAGCATTTTATATATATAGTAATATTCACATACATACATTTACATATTAATCTGTATGTATTCTCTAGGTTTTGTCTGTAGGTTTCATATATTTAGTAGATGCAGAGAGGTGCAGTTGTGGGAGGGTGAGAAGCAAGTGTTGAATCCTGTTGGTACCACAAGAAAATGTGTCCTAGGAGATGTGAATGATATTCAGTGAGATTCAATTCTGGAGGCTGTGATTGGGGAACTTGCATAGAGCAAAATGGCAGTGATGTATAAATAGTGGATAAAGTTAGCCTGCTATTTCAGAGCCACTTTAATATGTTAAATTATTTAGATGCCCCAAGAATGTCTGAAGTCATATGAGCATGTGCATTTCAATGCTTTTTACATGAGAAGCATCAGTGCTTGGCAGAATCATAAAATCAAGCCCAAATGCGTGCGTTTTCCTGCATATGTGTATGAGTCAATGATTATTTGGCCTCTTGGGATAGGGGATAAGAGAGGAAAACAAGTGACTGTTTGTTTTCGTTCAGTTTACTTGCTTGTGGTGTGTAGAAAGGTTGGGGCCAAAAAATTAGTAAAATAAAATAAAATAAAATAAAAATAAAATAAAGTAAAATATTCATAAAAAATACAAATAAAACATACCAGAACTGAATGACGTTCCCGTAAGTGAATTCATCCAGGCAGAATATCATAATAAAATACAGTTTCCTGCACTAATGTTCAAAGGTGACTGCAACATGCTACTGAAAATACAGTGCAAACAGACAGCATAACAAACAGTGTAATCAGTGTAGTTCAATTGACAAATGACTCTTCTGAGTCGGTTCTTTTCAGTGACTCAAAAACATTTAGCGCAACCAACACACTCTAGTAACCATTTTATGTTTTGGCGAATTGGTGGCTGGTCTGTTTGAATTTGTATCTGTCATATGTTCTGCTTACCCCCTGAAGGTTAGGTTTAGGGGTGGTCCTTCATGCTTTGTTTTTTTCTAAGGGTACGTTTACACGACAACGATACACTTAAAGGACAAGTTCGGTATTTTACACTTAAAGCCCTGTTTTAAGATCGTTTCTGATGAAATAGAACGGTTAAGATTGAAATTTGGACACATGCTGCTGGCCCGAGAATTTTCGGTTTCTGTGGTCAATCTAAAACTCATAGCACAACCAATCATATTCTCAAACGAATGACTCAGTTCTTTTTAGTGAATCAAAAGCATACAGCACCATCAGTGTAGTCTGATTCCTGAAAGAGTCGGCTCTTGTTCTGATAAACATGCAGCTTACGACTACTGTGAGACTTAAATCAATGAATTCAATGACTGGTTGTTCACATGGTAACTTAATATAATATACAGTACTGTGCAAAAGTCATAGGCATGTTAGCATTTTCACAAGAAAAAAATGGGTTTAAGCCAAGTTTTTATATCTTTTGCTGTAGTGTGTCAGTTGAAAATATCAGTTTACATTCCCAAGCATTCCATTTGCCATTAATTGTAATAATCCAGTGAGATTTTTGAATGCACAAGACAACAGCTGGGCTGCTCCACACAAAGATCTGATCTTCCCATCATTGAGTCCATCTGTGATTACATGAAGAAACAACAGAAACTGAGAGAGTAAATCCAGAAGAAACCTGCCTGCAAAGCTACAGTACTATAAAAAGTTATTGGCACTTGTGTAAAAATGCTGCAAAGTGAGGATGCTTTCAAAATAATGTCATAAATAGATTTTATTAATCAATTAACTTGTTAACCAAATCAAATCAATATTTGGTGTGAACAACCCTTGCTTTTTAAACAGCTTTTGTCCTAAGTACACTTGCACATAATTTTTTAGGTAGCTTTGCAGTTTTTTCTGTTTCTTCATGTAATCCCAGACAGACTCGATGATGGTGAGATCAGATCATACCGGCTGTTGTCAAATTCCTTCTGCATATTACAATGAATGGCAAAAGGAATGTTTTTGGAAATGTAAACTGATATTTCCTACTGACACACTACAGCAAAATATATAAATAACTGGCTCAAAACCATTTTTTGGGGTGAAAATACTAACGTGCCGACTTCTGCCAGGGGCGTCAGTTTGTGTTGAAAAGTGGTGGGGACAAAACATCCGGGGGGGGGTGGGGGGGAATACAATGCTAAATCATAAATCAGATGTACCAGCAATCGATTTAAATAGTACATTGTGTTTAATTTGTCGTTTAATGAGATCTAATGTGTGTTGGTGCCAAGAATTTTCACGTGAAGAAATACATAGATCCGACTGCTATACGCATGCACGTTAATGGTCCAGTGGCAGAACTTTTGCCAAGCGTGTCAGAGGTTCAGGGTTCTAATCCGCACTCGTATAGCTTTTTTTTTCTTCTTCATTAAAACCGATTATGTTTATCAGTGGTTGTATATCAAGCAGGGACACGTTTGTGTGCATTTTACTTTGTGATTTCACCGGAACGAATGAGAGTCTACGCAACGGATTAAAGCGCGCGTCCGTGTGAAGACTGTGCGCGACGCAGCGCGAGCCAAAGAGAACACTTGTATCCGTGCCACTGATCGCAGTCAACGAGCACTTTGATCACTTGATTTCAAAAACAACACATTTCAGCGTGCTAGATCGCCTCTTATTTAAAGGGATACTCCACTTTTTTTGGAAATAGTCTCATTTTACAACTCCCCCAGAGTTAAACTGTTGAGTTTTACCGTTTTTGAATCCATTCAGCCGATCTCCGGTTCTGACGGTACCACTTTTAGCATAGCTTAGCATACATCATTGAAGTCCCCAGCTCCGTAGCCTATTTTCAGGCGCTGCGTCATATCATTACGCCTGCTGCACTCATGGTACGGCAGTAAAGTTTCTTGATTATTACGCAGGAATGAGAGTATAGTTCCTAGTCATATCAGCCTAGAAAATCGCAACTTTACATTTTCCGTACATTTTACTTAGTGCACAATGTAACTACAGAAGAGTCAAGTTTTAAATAGGAAAAATATCGAAACACTTTGGTCATTTTTTTTTTTGAGAAATGCTAATGGTCTTGTCCACTTCAATGATGTATGCTAAGCTATGCTAAAAGTGGTACCGCCAGAACCGGAGATCGGCTGAATGGATTCAAAAACGGTAAAACTCAACAGTTTAACTCTGGGGGAGTTGTAAAATGAGACTATTTCCAAAAAAAGTGGAGTATCCCTTTAACAAACGAACGAAATGAATGCTCTGCTAGTTAACTAGAGATGTTTTATTTATTTGTATTAGTTACATCCGTGCCGCGAGATGTTTCAAAAGTGGTGGGGACAATATCGACCCTGGCAAAAAGTGGTGGGGACATGTCCCACCCGCAAATTACGCCTATGACTTCTGCACAGTACTATATAAATACTATATATCAGTGGCGGGCCGTGCATTTCACACCTAGGCTGTGTCCTACCTGAATTAATAATTTTTAATAGTGTAGCAGCGCACAGACTCTCTATAATTGTTGTGAAATTGCTGTTTTTATTTTGCACCGGCAGTTATTGGGTTAATCCGGTGAGTTGGGAAAAGGCCGGGTACAGAGAAACGAGCGAGTGAGTTCGGCTTGTGGTTGTTCAGTTGTTTACAGTTGTTCTTGCGTTCCGATTATAAGTTCAGAAACGGAGCCTCCCTTGTCTTGTCGTTCAAGGGTTACAATAGTCCCTTGTCAGACGTTACAATAGAATGAATGTTTGAAAAACATATTCGATCATACATTTACAAGAAAAAATGAAGAAGAAAATCATATTCACCACAGAAAAAACGGGGGCAAAAAAACCATTATACTCATCAAAACTACTGATTATTTTTTTTACACAAAATCCATCCTAATTTCTTTCCTCAAAAAGACTTTAAGACTTACTCTGTTGTATAGGTTATCTGTGTGTTTCAGTTCCAGCAATAAGTCTTTTCTATCGAAGCTAATGCTGAAAGTCGAGTCAGTCCCGTCGTATTTCTGGGATAAGTTTTACTTCGCTTTAGGGCTGAGAGTGTTTGCTCGACAGAAGCAGTGGACACAGGGACAGTCACCGCAAAACATGACGATGTGTACAGCTGCCCCATGCTCTCACACAGAGTTTTGAACAAAATCAATGAGATCAGCGGGACTTTTGCCTACAAAATCAGAACCGGCATACATTACAGTCAGTTCTGTTATTACCCGGACAGACCGAATAGTGTTCCGTGACTCTGCGTTAAGCTGGATAAGGCTGAATAAGGGATTTTTTTCCCCGGTAGGTTTGAACCTGCTGGGGGTCGAGGAGGGAAAGAAACATTAATTTGTGGGTTGAAAAACTATTAAATCTACAGGAATATATTTTAGTTTATGCAGTTCACTACAGATGCGGTTAGCTAGCTCTGACTACCAGTAATACGCGCTCTGACCATCCAATCAAAGGACGTGAAAATGCAAACGTTATTGTATGCCATCAAAGCTAAATCTGATTGGCTGATTAAATCTGACTGATTATCTGATTGGTTAAAGCAAAAGTTTCATTGCCATTCATTTTAAGCTACAGGCGCCAGCACTATTGATTCTGAAGGCCTCAAGGCAAACTTCTTTGGCCATGGCAACACATGATGGCAGAAATATAATTGGATAAAAGCTCTAATATAAATATACATATATTTATACTATACTATATTATACTATACATCTACACAAATTTTTTTTTATTAAAGTGCAAGTCAGTGATTCTGATAGTGTTTAGGCCAGCAGAGAAGGCCTTGCTGGCCCTGACGGCCCACCACTGATACAGTACATACATGTGGCAAGCAGGACGAGGCCTGTGGCGTAACTGATAATGAGCGTCACCTGCATGCTGCACCGGTCTCGTATCTCTCACGCAGGACCTTCGGAAGCATAAAAGGAGGACGGACGACAGTAAAGGACGAGAGAGAACCAGGCCTGGATTTTATGCTAGGTTTTGTTTATGTGTGTGCGGCAGTTGTCCGTGAGAGGCTGCCGCCTTTACTTTCGTTTATTATCAAAGTTTGTGAAACGTTCACCGGTTCCCGCCTCTTTCTTCCCACAAAATACCTTGTTACAATATAATATACAGTATGTAACATGTTATATTATATTGTTTGTGTAATAGCCTAATTGTTGTGTAGTTACAGCCATTATTTTATTGCATTTATGCTACCTCCTTTTTTGACTGTAAAGTCATTAAAGCTTGTGTTAACACTTTTTGCATGATTTGTTTTAAATAGATTTATTACTGAAATGATCTTATCATTTGGTAAAATGGAGACCCTTTCATTTCTAATTGTGAGTGCAACATTTTGAGATGAAGGACATTGGGCACATAAAATATTCAGTCTGAACAAATGATATTGAGAGTGATATGCATCAAACGTTAGACTGCAGAGAAGACTAATCAGGGGATAACTAATACACAACAGAGACTAGTTATGTGTTAGAGGCGTGTGGATAACCTAATGATGGTAAAGAGCAGAAGAGAATAGGATACATTCATAAATCAAAACAGGATGGTCTGAGTGGCCTTTTAAAGTCTTGATTGCCTTGTCAGCATATACATCTATTTCTACCAGACCAGGCGAGCACTCATTACTTTCGAAGAGATGCGTTTATCCACGAAGCAGCATGAACGAAGCATCCAGACTCATATACTGTTCAGAGAACAGTTGAACGTCAGACATTGTCAATTGAGAAGAGCTGTCACTATACAGAAATAGCTGCAGCTAAAAGTACTGATTCATTTGTAAGTGACAATGTAGCACAAACATTATGAAAACTCAATAATGATTACAAAAACGTCCCATCCCCCACTCTGTCTCTCGGTCTATTGATCGGCCTGTAACAGTATATGGGGGTAAACTCAGCAACTGAGGGTGTGAGTGAGAGAAAGAATTAAGGGAAGGCTTGTATTGTCACAAAGAATGCATTTAAAATAATTCAAGGCACTGTATGTGCTGCCAGAAAAGTGTGTGTGTTAATTATTGGATTTTCTTTAATGAACTACACACTGGATGAATAACCGTCCAGAAAATAATGAATGCCCCCACTGAGACCTGACCTCCGGTTATCTAAGATAAATGCTGCAGTCAGGTGGGAAAAGTCAAAGTGAGAAAGCAGAGCGAGTCAGAAAAAAAGGTTCAAGTGAGAAAATCTGAGAGCAAAGAATGTCTAAACTCTTAGAAAAAAAGATTCAATAGGGTTCTTTATAGAAGGGTTCTTGACTCAATTTTAAAGAATCCTTAATGCCAAAAAGGTTCTACATAAGGAGAAATGTCTCATATGATTTGATAATACTTTAATGTTTAAAGGGTAATTTACTAGTGATCATGTTTACAAGCAGCTTAATTCATGATGAAGGGAACCCCTAAAGTTTTCTATAAGAACCCTTTAAGGCTCTATATAGAACATTTTCTTCTAAAAGTAAGTTTGTAAAGAAAATATTTAAGGTAAAGTGTGTAATTTTTTTAGGTTCAAATATTTTCTCCTATCCAACTGAATATGCTGAGACAATATGTAAGCCATTAGCAGGTTGGTTTCTCTGAAAGTGGTTTTTTTTTATCACTAACAGAAAAATCTTCTTACAGTTACTACATGCAGAAAGCTATAGGAGCCCATTTGGCCAATCCTCCCTGTATTAGATGCATAATATCATTCATTCTGTCGCAGATCTGGCAAAATAGAGAAACAGGGAAATAACTGATGTGCATTCTCATTCTCATCAACTATAGCTCACAGCATATAGACAGGCCCTTTCCCTTAATAAACCAACAATTTTAACCTATATTAAATAGTCAAATGTTCAATAGCTAAAGTAAATACTCAAAAATTAACTGACTTAAATAACACCTTTTTTTTGAGGCACTGAGCAAGGAAGTGTCCAGGCAGGGGATGATTTTACATATGGAAAATTTTCTCCACTTTGCAAATGCATATAAGACGACAATAAAAATGTTAAATATGAAGTAAAAAAACTTTTGCTTAAACACACTAATTTTAGCATTAAACAAACAGAATCATTGATCATTGATAGTGGAGTGGATGCTCAACTGTGCAGTGACATCATCACACATGCAGCCACTACAGAAAATGCAACTGTCTTGGTTTTTATTTAGATTTGTATTGTATTTGTATTAATATATATATACATAAATTCTTTTTTTTTTTAATCTTATGCACAGTTAAAGTGATTTTAAGTAATCTAGGAGCCAATTTTATTATATTCTGTCATGTAGGCTATTTAGTGTGCAGTCTGTTAATATGTAGGCTAATAAAATATTTTAGCATTCTTTCTGGCATCAGCAAAATGGATTGCAATCACTCCTTTTCAATATAATCTTTAATTAATTTCTTTCCATTCTTGCACATTGTTGCTTACAGGAAAGATAACTAAAAACAATATATTTTTTCTCATTTTGTTTTTGATTGTATTAATGATTATGAATTACATGCTAAACAAAATATATATTTCATAATGCGTGCAAGTTGCAACTGAATGTTAAGAACAGTGAACCTTTGAAGTACAACGTGTACAATATAATTCTACAAAATAATATTTCACTTTCTACATATTCATACGACAATTGCACTACAACGAGAAGAAACTCTGGTTTTATTTACCAACATTTTGACGCCTTACCTCCTCCCTTCCGCCCCCATTCAATGTGGGCGCTTCTCCCGTCACCGTCACCCCTTGCATTTTTCACTAACATGTATTTCCACGGCACACACGGTCCAGGATGCGGTCCACCGTCAGGACCTCTCCGTAACCTACTTCACCCCATCAGCGGCGAGTGCCACCACGTTTCTATGGTGGCGATATCCACACTACACACGAGCATCCCCCCAAAGATGCGTCCTTTCCTTTTCCTGTCTCACAAAGGTTATTATCACATCCCCTAATCTCTTCTGGATTCTAGTCCGGTCAAGGATCAGGAATATCGGGTAACTGTTGCGCTTGATTTCCCCTCAGCAATTGTGTGACATAAGCGTCGCAAGCTCGACACGGAGCGATGGCTGGATAACAGCGCGTGCATCATATTCGCGGCTCGCGCTGCTCAGCCGTCTTTGTCGAAGAACACGGTGTGTCGTAATCAGTGGCGGCGAGATTAATCTTTTATTCTCTACGTTTTAGTGAAAGAAAATCCGCAATGTTGAAATTACAGAATCCTCAGACTTTCCTCTTCCCGAGCATCTCGTATTTTCCACCTCAACCTCCTTTCACCTGAACTGTCTCCTTGCGGACTTCACTCTGACGTCATCCTTAAACGCGCCTTCAAATCCTAATAATTGGGCAGTTTGGACCAACCCGCTGACAGCGCGTGCACATGCGAGGTTCGGTCCTGTTAGTGTTTTTTAATAATAACTATTATTATTAATCTTCGTTATTTAATAGTCAAATGGTCGTGTTTATGTTGTTATGGCTAAAGCTGCTATGTAAAAAAAAAAACCTTTGGACAATGCTTGCTTAATTGTATTGAATGCACGTATAGCGTGCCAAATCGTAATAAAAGTAGCCAATTTAGGCTATATTTTTTTTAATCTGTATACAGCCTACTTGCAGATAATGTAATAATGAAATAAAAGGCCCTACACATTCCTGATTGTTTCTTAAGTGCACTTTTAAAAAGTTTCTTATATCATGCTTTAAACAATTGCACTTATGTTGATGTGTTAACTAACTTACTAAAGCACATGTAAAGTCTTTGATTATAATTTTAACTGTAGGCCTATGTGTGTTATTCAATATAGGCTACATAAAGTTAATAGATTTCATCATTACAAATGTGTAAGTTTCAACAGAAATGACAATGAAATATTTTAGCTTACGATAAATGCTTGTCAATACATTCGACAATAGACTTTAACCATATTTCATAGACAATATAAATAATTATGAAATTACATATACAGATGTAGGCTACTTATGCCCTACTTAAGTAGGCCTATGTCAAAAAGAACTCTGCGTTCGACTAATTGCATTCAACAGAATTTTAAATTGTAATACATTTTCATTTAGTCGCAAATATCATGTTTGCAACTAAAACATTACATTCAGTTTGCACTTAAAGGGATTTATATTATTTCATAATAAATACTCTTTTTCAAAAGTAGCCAATATTATATTTTACAAGACTATACGTTCAAGAAAAAAATAGGGTCATCTCTTACAACACACCAGAATTTTATTTTTGCTGAAATATGCCTTGAACAATATACTGCTTCAGTGTAATTTGATTCAATTCATTACATCAGAATTATTTTCATATTTCCAATAATTCTAAGACATTTGGTTCTGCCTAGAATTCCTGACTGTACAAAAGTGCATGTAGAATGGAACATCTATCAATAATTTCTCATTTTTCTCTTTTTACTCAGCACTATATTTGTGGGGTTTCAGGTGAACACAGTGACACATTATCTTCCTCACTATGTGCCAGTATATAGTTGCTTTTTCTCGCTATAAGTCTCTGTGGATGTTCAGCTTGAAGATGATTCTGCAGACTGTCCCGTGTCTGTGCGGTCAAGCCACACTCCTCACACACATACAGTTTGTCTCGACGCTCTTTGTAGGCATACTGCTGAGTAATGGCATGGATCTTCTTTAGATGAGATTCTAAGGAGCAGCGCTGGGTGAAGGCTTTAGCACACAAAGTGCATTTATAGGGTCTCACACCTGTATATTGTAAGTTGAGAGGAAAGTTAGAGGTGAAAATATACAAACATATTACACATGTAAATATACATTATTATTAACATAAACTTACCAGTATGAGTACGTACATGCCTCTTTAGATCAAAAGTATCATTAAATCCTTTTCCACAGTGCTCACAAGTGTACTTCTTTGTTTCACTATGGCACTTTACATGGCGTCTCAGCATACGCGCTGTAGTAAACGTCTTCTGACATACCTGGCAGGATAAAACTGATGCAGCAGGTATAGAATGTCTGCTAATTTGCTCGCATTTTCTGGGATGACTGACAGCAGAGATGGCATATTACCTGTAGTTATCTGAAAATGGGAGAACAATGATATCATATCCTGCTACAGCACAGAAAATTCACACTAACATTACAACATGTGCCAAAGCAGCCGTTTTAAACCAAAAGAATTGTCAGCTCACCTTTATCTTTGAGCGCAAGTAAGGCACTTTTTGGGTCCTCATGCGGCATTCTGGCTTGTGATTAAGTTGACCCTGTGCAGCGGAGGATGGCAGCTTTGCAGTCAAGAATTTGTTTTGTGCAGTTGTGAAGCAGGAGTATTCTGCAATGCTTCCCTCAGAGACTTCATGGACATATGGTGGAAAAAGGGACTCTAGGGAGCAGCAAAAGCAGAGAGAGGGAGATCAACAGATTTTGACTGGCCACTGAGTTCAAGTACTCTTAATTAATCATTTTTTTATGCAGCAAGTATACACAAAGCAGTGATAAACATAAGCATTCAATGAAATATAAAACAATAGGCTATAGAATTCAGAGTCAGAATTCACATTCATTTAAAAGACATTTAAATATATAGATAATAATAAAAAAAAGGAAAAGACATAATAAATATAATAAAAAAAATAATAATAATATAGCCAATATGGCTCGGATATAATAATAATGAGAAACAATTTTTTTTTTCTTATTGCTTAGTCTAACTCTCCATTTGTCAAAATAAAATGAATTATATAATACCTTAATTATGCATTAAGTAGGCCTATTGAATTCTGTTAACTTCCCAGCCTGTGACACACGAACATGAACGAGACACTCACCAGGTATGTATACGTCCCCAGACTCCCCACGCGCGGAATCCGGAATCTCACTCCAGCTTCTTTTTCCAGTAGCGATGTTCACTTTTTTGACCAAGAATGCTCGAGGCATTTTCGAAAACCTAGCGAATGGTTTATGTTCCTCTAAGTTCCTAGAATGCTTTTAAGCGGATCCTCTGGCAACCTACAGTTATCCACAATTCAACTATCCTTTTCCCTATAACAAGGAAACCGCCAGGTGATGTTGCGCATGCGCAGAAATATAACGGCGCAGTGCAGGTACAAGTATAACCGGTTCTCAAACTAATGCTAACCTTAGCGAGAAAGGTAAACTGGTTACTATGTATTGTTTTAAATAGTAACATGTTCGTGTTAGTTTTAGAACACTGATAATGTACTTTTAGTCCATTTATCAACTTTTTAAACCATGACTTGAGGTTTTCTGTCTGGGCGTGGCGTGTGGGTCTACTCCTTTGTTGAGGTGTTTTGTCTTTCTGAATGGAGGTGTATCGCTGTAACAGTAGGCTATCAGCAGGGGGCGAAAGTGCCCTGTCACATTTTGCCTACTAAAGTTTTAATACACTTCTAATTCTTGAAAACATGGGTTTCATATAGGCTAAAAAGGATTATGACGCTTTGCTATGTTAGATATGTTTAACAGAAGCTGTCATCAGTTAAGTGTAAATCAAACCTTTGTATGCAAATTAGTTTGGAGAATAATGTCTCAAAAATCAGATAAGAGTCACAGTAAAACGACCCTCCCACACACACAATGAAAACACAAACAAACCTAAGTAGCCTACCCTGTGAAAATGAATAGGCTAACGTTACACGTGAGCTATATGTTTAGGCTACACAACAATGTGTCTGTGCACTTTGTTGAAACATCAGGTGATAAATTAAGGGAATATTAGGTAGCCTATTTTTTAACAAAGTTTACTTTTATACACAGCAGGAAAGCAGTTTTGAATGTATAGGGGTGGGTGACCAGGTCATTATTTTTTTACTCGGAGAATGTTTAAAAAGCCAATGTCAGTACAGAGAAAACAGTACAGTCCTTTCTACACAAAATATAAATGAATAAATAATGCCCAATAACGGAGCATGTCACATTTGCTTTTCAGCCAATTTCGACAAACATTTTGAAATGATTTTTATTTATGTACGAATAGTTTTGAACAAATAGTAATAAACAATGAACAAAAAAGTTTTGAGAAAAAAATATTTTTGTTTGTATAAGATGAGGATCTCTTTTAGTAAACTGCACCGATTGGACCAACGAGGGATCCGTAGTTTAAAATACAGCAAGCATGGCGCTGCCCTAGTGCAGTTCAAATCTCTCAGCATGTTAGATAATAATATTGTTGCCAATTGTTCAGAAATGTGTCGTGTTTGAAATGTCAATATTTCGAAGATAATCGTTTTGTTAAACCATGGCTATTCAGTGCGTGTTATTTGGCGTAAAGCGTTGTCGCACATTTATTTCACCGTATCGACTGACAATGATTCAGTCTTTAAGAGCTTCCGTGTCTACAGCGACTCAGTTCGTTCAAATCAATGATATCACAAGCATTTTGAGTCCACTGCGTTCTCACGTGCGCGTGAAATCAGTCAGGAACGCATATACTTTCACCTCCACTGCCGTCGCAAAAGACGTGATTCTCTTTAAACATGACCGGACCCGTTTCTTCAGAATTTTGACCATTTTTTGTGGTGGTCAGTTTGTATTCTGGGCATATCTGGCTCACTTTGCTTTCACAAGTCTTCGAGACACAAGAAGAAATAGCGGTGAACCTGCAAAGATTAGAACTGAGTTAGGGGGGCTTTTCAGTTTTGATATGAACCTTGGTTCAAATGCCTGGAGGTATGGATTCACCCTTGGGTGCCTACTCATTGGTAAGCGCGTTAACTCTGCAATTTATCTGCATTTTAATGTATTCGAGCTGTATAAAATGTCTTTTTTTCTGTTGTCGTAGGTGGAGGAATTGTCGGAGTGGCAGTATTGTTCAGCCGTCGTTCTGTCAGTCGTGTGATTCTGCATAAGGGAGGTGGAAATGTGACAGTGTCGACACAGTCACCGCTGGGACCTCTCAGAGCTCACCATCTAACTGTGCCTTTGACTCAAGTGACCTGTCATGCACACAGACAGGAGTCACCTTCATTTATTCCTCTTAAAGTCAAAGGGTACAAGTTCTACTTTCTTTTGGACAAAGACGGGACACTGAATAATCCTAAACTATTTGATATTACTGTTGGGGCCTACAGACCTATATAATATGTCCTTTATACCCCTGTGTGCGTCTATAGTTCACTGTGGATGTGTCAAATCTGCTATTCATTTCGTTTCTTGTTGCCTTGGAGCACTGAAATTAGAAGAGGAATAAATTGTGTAACTTTACTGTCAATAATAAAACTTTTTATCTGGGATTTGGGCTGACTCTAATTTAAAAAAATAAGCTTAAACAGGCATATTCTATCTCTACCATCTGAGTTGTGTGACACATAGGCTTAGTCATATCCCTATTACAAGTCTGTTTCTGACTAGACAAAATTATACTTCTGTCTTTGCATTTATTTTCTCAGCAGCATTCATGTGTTGTGGAGCCCTAAAGGGACATGGTGATGGAAAAAATATGAGATAGGATTTCAATTTGATAAATAATTTTTCCTGCCATCTCATATTTTTATCTTCACCATGTCCATTTAGGAGCTCTGTGTTTCAGCATATGTGTTTCAGTTAATTAAATATATAAATATATACATACATATATATATATATATATATATATATATATATATCAGTAGTCAACATTTGAAGTGGATCAAACTTGTCCAAAGACAAGAATGGGTATTGTTCAAAATTCATGTATAACTTTGATGAAAGGTTTTGATCCACTTCAAATATTGACTGTATACACACACACACACACAGTACCGGTCAACAGTTTGGAAACATTACTATTTTTAATGTTTTTTTATTTATTTGGTCAAAAATACAGAAAAAAACCCGCAATATTGTGAAATATTACAATTTAAAATAATGGTTTTCTATTTTAATATACTTTAAATTATAAATTATCTCTGTGATGCAAAACTGAATTTTTAGCATCATTACTCCAGTCTTCAGTGTCTCATGAGTTTGCTGCCTAATTTTCTTTAACCTGTTGTTCTTTTTTTTAGGATTCTTTGATGAATAAAGTTAAAAAGAACATAATTTATTCAAAATAGATTTTTTTTCTAACAATATAAATCTTTACTTTACTTTCACTTTTTATGAATTTAACACATCCTTGTTGAATAAAAGTATTAATTTCTTTCAAAAAAAGAAAGAAAAAAATACTGACCCCAACCTTTTGAACGGTATATTGTTACAATTTTTTTTTATTTTAAATAAATGCCATTCTTTTTTTTAACTTTATATTCATCAAAGAATCCTAAAAAAAAGTACCACAGGTTATACAAAAAATATTAAGCAACACAACTCTTTCCAACATTGATAATAAATCAGCATATTAGAATGATTTCTGAAGGATCGTGTGACACTGAAGACTGGAGTAATGATGCTGAAAATTCAGCTTTGCATCACTAAATTATAAAGTACAACCTATTTAAATAGAAAACCGTTATTTTAAATTGTAATAATATTTCACAATATTACTGTTTTTCTGTATTTTTGATTTAAAAAATGCAGCCTTGATAAGCATAATGACTTTTTTCAAAAACATTTTTTGGAAATAATAATATTTATATTGACAAGACTACCTGACAGGCATGGTGGAAGAATACCTGACAGGCATGGTCAGAAGACAACAAAATGACTTTACACGTTGGTCACAACACACTGATTTTGGTAAAAAAAAAAAAAAAAATGATAACATAAATATTATAATTAACCTGACCGACGATGTCCCATACGCACACACGCACAAACCCAAATTAAATGAAATTCATATAGGCTTTTAAACACTTTAATTTCTTGGGTAATTTGTTGTTGAATGCAGTATAGCGACCGACCAGCCATGACACATAAAATGAGGCACATATCTGTTTGCTCATACCCAGTTCAGTGATTCATGAATGTCCTACCAGTTCTGTAACGGTTCCCTTATTCATACATTTCAAACCTACACGTCACCTATTGGCAAAATATGGCTGTAATTGAAATCCAACGTGTAGGGTGTGAGCTATATGGAAGCTTCTGGAGCTCTCAGACCACATGTTTTAAACTTCGCGACGTTTACTTGGTTTCCCAGTGAATATAATTTTAGTGACAGTTAGTTGGCGCTTTTGGCAAGAATGTAATGGCCATTAGAGGCACATTAGTAGCCACTGAGGAGAAAAGGCGGTAGATTGGAAACGATAGATGCTTCACTGATGGGGAGGAGAGATAGAGTGGGTGTGAGGAGGCGTTGAAACATTTTAAGAAAAGTTGCACGTGTTTTGGTTTATTTTTCATCATTCGCCCTGATGGATTTATCATAATTTTGTCATTTTTCTGCTATCGGATCTGTGCTACATTTCAATTAACGGGAGATGGGTTTAAACGAACTTAACAAATACAAATAATATGAACTTGCAGGATACTGGTCTGTTTTGATAATAATGAATCATAATGAAGGAAGAGAATCGTTTTATCGTATGCATGATTCCCAGATTCCTCCAGCATGGATGGACCCGGAGAACTCAACGGCTTTTCACACAAGTTCGGTAGGCTTTTTTTTTTATATATATATATTTTAGGATATTTAGCCTACTTGAATGTATTTTCAAATCAACTCAGTTAAATAAAAGGAATACCCTACCTCAGAGCTGACAATAGTTGTTTAATATGGTGAAGATGTTTTTTTCTTCTTTTATTAACAGTTTATTTTATTTATTTTGCAGAATCTCACCGAGGAGACATCTAGCCCAAGTCTTGATGTAATTACATCTAATCCAGATCTTCAGTGGCTTCTGCAGTCCTCTCTACTTTCCCAATCAGAGACCACATTGGGAACATTTTGTTCATTCATACCCAGCACCACCATGCCTAACTGCCCCTGTTTGCCACAGTGCTCCAGTCCTGACCAGTCCTATAACGGAGCAGTGGGGGACAGTGCTGTAGGACATACTAATAAGCATGTAAGTTACTAATATTTCTGATATTTTAAGAGTTTGGAATGCAGAAAATAGTGAAAGTGAACTTGAGAGGTTCCGGTAACTCATTCATTTATGGTAAAAGATAGAAATGACTCACACCTGAATCACAAAGGGGCATGAGGAGTGAGTCAGTGCTGTGGTATTTGAGCGGGAATCTTAAAGCGCAGACTCAGATGGATCACTTTGACATTGGTGCCAATGGATGAGTAACAGGAACAGCATATTTGGAATAGGGTAGAATTGCTGTGTTTATGCTTTCTTGTTATCAGCCATAAGATGGCAGCACCATCACTCTTTTAGACTTAAAGGGCTAGTTCACCCAAAACTGAAAATGTTCCCATAATTTACTCACCCTCAAGCCATCCTAGGTGTATATGACTTTCTTCTTTCATCCAAACACAATCAGATTTATATAAAAAAATATCCTGGCTCTTCCAAGCTTTATAATGGGAGTGAATGGTACCATTTTTTAAGCCCAAAACAGCGCATCCATCCATCATAAAAGTAATCCATACGGCTCCAGGGGGTTAATAAATAAGCTTAGACGCGGTTCAAACAAACAGGGCTGGGCAACAAACTCAAGCTCCAGCATTTCTCTTTAAAAATACTCGTTTTCGACTTCTAATTTGTGACCGTTGTTTTGTTAAGCTCTATCCTCTGTGCTTCTGCTTTCATCAATACGTCATACGTCGGGTTAGAGGTCACTCTGCTAACTACTCATGTACGGCCGTTACCGGTTGCCAGTGATTATAGTTTCTAAAGTTTTAAATATGAATATTTTTCTTACACAAACGCATCGCTTCACTTCAGGAGGCATTTATTAACCCCCTGGAGCCTTTTGTATTACTTTTATGATGGATGGATGCTGGACTTAAAAAAAATGCTACCATTCACTCCCATTATAAAGCTTGGGAGAGCCAGGATATTTTTTGATATAACCCCGATTGTGTTTGGCTGAAAGAAGAACGTCATATACACCTAGGATGTCTTGAGGGGGAGTAAATAATGGGATAATTTTCATTTTTGGGTGAACTATCCCTTGAAGCTTAATGGTTCTTAAATGAAATTAGTCTTAAGACGGCCTTTTTTTATAGATGTCCTCTGAGGAACTTGACAGGATAAGGATCCGCAGGGAAAGGAACAGAGTAGCAGCTGCCAGATGTCGGGATCGCCGTCGGATACTTATAGACACATTACAGAATGTGAGATGGGTTATTATTTGTGGTATAAACTATCCTACACAGACTCCTAGCTGTATATCCTGAGCTTGTGCTTTTTCTTTCAGGAGACGGATCATTTGGAACACGTGAAGACACAACTGGAAGAAGAGATCGCTGCACTTGAAAGGGAGAGAGAAAGACTAGAGTTGGTTTTTGAGGCACATATGCCCATCTGCAAGTTAAATGACCCAAACCCAGAATAAACACTGATGCTGGTCATGTTTAGTGCTGAGTCTGCTGGTTCAGATCAGCTGTGTATTTTATAACGTAATAGGCTTATTTGTTAAAGAAAGCGAAATGTTAAATATATTTCAGTGATACAGGTACCTTGAGAATCATTATCTTGCATGCAGATTTGTTTTACTTGTTTTTGTAATAAACCACAACTTCAAATGGTGTTTCTGTCAAATCTTTTTCTACCATGTGTGTAGGGGTGGAATTTGGCTGAGCGTAAGCTCCATAAATTGTATATTTATTTATTTATTTAGCTAATATGTACTGTTCAAAAGTACAGTAAAAACAGTAATTTTGTGAAATATCACAATTTAAAATAACTGTTTTCTATTTTGATATATATTAAAATGTCATTTATTCCTGTGATGGGATTCTTTGATTAATAAAAAATTCAAAAGACTAGCTTTTATTTGACATTGAATTTTTGTAACAATACAAGTCTTTACTGCCCGTCCTTGTTTCTTTATTTTCTAACCCGAAACTTTTTGAATGATATTGTTATTAACAGTCAAAATAAGACTAAATCATATAATTTTTCCAAAAGCAACTGAACCTCCACTAGTTTTGCCACACATAATTACTTTGGAGATGTGCAGATTTAGTCAATTATTTACATTAAAGATCATTTAATTACACAAAAATGCCTCAATGCATGTTTCCCTAGGCTGTTGCAAGTTTAGCTATTGCTGAATAAAGTATTAGTCAGAAACATTACACAAGTGCAAAATGTTATACCAGGACATTTTGTTCAGCTGTTTTTACAATTATGTGCTTTGTTTATTCGTTAGCAGCAGGTGGCAGTCACACATATTATCCCATCAGACCGAACGACGGAGGGCAATGTCTATGGTGAATGTAGTTCAGCTGGAGTCAAACCACCAGAACAGGATTCACACGACTGTCACTGTGAGTTCTCCTGCCAGTTACATGTACCACAGCAGAAGTTAGTCAGTGCTCATGTGCTATTATTTGTTTGTATTCCTGCATAAAGCGCATAGATAGATCTGCACGTCCGTGTTTGTAGTTGTAACTGCGGAATAAGTTCATAGCTCGCAGATGGCCTGGTTCTACAGAGCGATGCACTTTTTGCAGTATTTTAACATCTGCTAACAGCGTCTTTATTGACTGACCTTTCATTACAAAACAAAAATAACACGATAAGTTTAAATCATCAGTTTGACGTCAATTTTCTTTGAATAAACAGGTTACAGTGGTCATGTATTATTTTATATTTGTATAAATATAAGCATACAACAATTAATACAACAAACTGTTTAGCAAATAATAAACTAAGCTTATTTCCATCTGTTTTTAAATCCACATGGACTGTCAACTATAGATGCCAACTAACAAACAACATTGTTGTTACCAGTCAAAATGTTATGTTTGTCAAAGCAGTTATGACCGCTATATCAATTATTTTAATACATTATTTTAAATATTTTATTTATTTCATCTTGCTTTTTAAGAAAATGTCTATGGAGTTAGATGTGTTTGTTGGGAATACCACTGTCCTGGATGAAGATGTGTACCAACTGTGGTTGGATGGACACACAGAATGAGACAGTTGTCATAAGCATTTTTTCGTTTAACATTTCAGGTGATGATATACTCTTCATCTTGGTAAATAGTCAGAGATGCACTGCAGTACAAATGCAGATGGAAGCAGGAGCCTTGCTGGTGTGTGAAGCCAATGCAGACGTTTTGCACAGCGACACCATGGACCAGTTCAGGACATTCCAGATGTGTGAGCAGCTCCTACAATCCCCTTCCAAAGTGGCCAATCACATTCTTTTCCAGATCCCTCCTCACCGTCAAACCATGCTTATTGAGAGGTCTGTGGTCCTAATAGAGTTTGCATCCATTTTCTATAATATTAACAAAGAAGTTTTAATTGTTAGCTAGGGCATCATCTGTGTTTTGTTGAGGTTTTTGTTTCTTGACACACTATGAGTTTGATAGTGTGTTTGCCAGGGAGGTGCTCGATAAGAAACTCTCCTAAGGGACCAGAAAAGACTTGGACAACATCAGTTGAAAGACTGGGATTGCACACAAGAGCTGTTGTCGACAGGTGCTGCAGACACTCTGGCTTCTTGTATTTTTGAATGCCTCACTAGGAAAGGATGAATATTGCATGATTTGCAATGCTATTTTACAGAAATTATTTTGTCAGTGTACAATAATATGTGTCTGTTCACAGAGCTTTGTATGTGAATGCCGAGGCTTTTTAGGTCAGGTAGAATCCTGGATCTATGACCCAGTTAGTTTGCTGGCTTCCATGGCTGCAATACACTGTGTTTTCTGGCAAACCGGGGGTTTAAATACTTTTGGGTAAATTGGCAGTGGGCGGGATCACACAGACCAAAACAAAAACATTCAGACATGGGACGCACATTTCAAAGAAGAATAACTGGCTGTAGCATTGTTTTTGCATTTGAACTTTGTATGTTTTCTTAAATATCTGCAAATATATTATGGTATTTTAATGCTTTAGAACAGTCAAAAAAATTACATACAGCACCTTTAACCAAGGGCGTAGATTTGGTTTGAACATTGGGGGGGTTGAAGTTTGGGTATGCCTCCTGATATTGTGATCATGGTATAAATAATGTGGGGGTTGTAATGCATAGATTTAAATATTGGGGGGGGTTATATCCCCCCCATCCCCCCCACAAATTACGCCCCTGCCTTTAACTAATGTTAACAGAGATTAATAAATCCTGTAACAAAAATATTGCTTACTGTAGCAGGTTAATGTTAGTCAATGCATTAACTAATGTTAAATAATGAGACCTAAATGTAAATTATTACTATTTTAACCCCTTGTTGTTACCCTTTTCTCATTTTGACAATTTCAAGTGTGTTTAAAGTGGTGGAAGAGCTAAAAAGCCCTCTAGTGGAGAACATATAACATGACTTTCTCATGTCTGATGTTCTAGCAGTGAGACTTTCACACATGAGGCCAAATGAAGCATTTACAGTATATTCTCTACCATTCCCTTACAAGTGTTAAAGAGCAGCTGTTCCACCTATTGAAATTGTTACCATTTCAAACTTTCCAATACCAAGGATGTAAATGTGAGCCAAAACAACATATTTCTTACCTGTTCTTGTTATAAAGATGAAGATGCTTCTGTGATTTAATACAACCAGCTTCACCAGTGAAAGCTTTTGGAGTTATATTTGAAAGCAATCGTAAACCTGGCCAAACCTAGGATACACACAGGCATATCTTAAAACTGATGTTTCTGTTCTGTTCATCCTCTTACTGTTTTGCTTGGTTTTTCTGCTCCATTAATTGTTCTCTTCATATGCTCTTTTCTGTTCCCTATACTTGCTTTTCACACTCTCCCCTGTCCTCTCACTGCAGGGACTATACCGCCATTGTGTTCTTTGCTAAAAGTCGTTTGAGACAGGGTACTACAGTACTGGTCTTTCCAGGACTTTACCTTTTGCGCTGGTCACCTCATCAGCTACTGGACTGTGGGGGCAGTTGGTAAGATGTTTGTCTTTAAGAGACAGTTCACTGACAGCTCAGACTGTCTGTACTTACTAATTTGCACTGCAAAACTGTTTTGCACTAAACCAAGTAGAATGCATTTCAAAGAGAAGTAGGTACTATGAAATCAAGCTTGTATAAAAACAACAAATATGCACTACAGAAACACTACAGCAGCAACTTCTACCATTTGCATGGTATTCCACCAATCAGATCATCTTTGGTGACTGGCGATGAGTGTCTTTGTGTAGCACGCAATGGTGAGAGGCAGAGTAAAATGTAAGCAAGCAGGGAGGTGACAGTGCAAAAATTGTTCAGCCTATGGCCACTAATTGTAACTATTTGGAAAATCCATAATGAGAAATGTTATAGTAATGAAGCAAAATTAATTGGAAAGAAAAGGCATTACAGGTGTATGCATTCTCATGTAGGGCCTATGTATATACTGAAACACCTAGTTTTAGACCACAATAATTGTTTTATTATGGTTTAGGGCTTCGTTTTGTGGCCAATACCGCATCATTTCGTCTTGTGAATGACAGATAGCCTGCAATACAAGTCTCTTACAGTGGCCAGAGGGATTTTGAGCCATTGCTCTTCCAGAACCGCAGCCCGGTTACTATGTGATGCTGGTGGAGGAAAATATTCTCTGATTCGCTCCTCCAAAAGTGGAGCCCAAAGCCCAAAGTGGCTTAATAATATGTAGATCTGGTGACTGTGCAGGCCATGGGAGATGTTCAACTTCACTTTTATGTTCATCAAATCATTCTGTCACAAGTCTTGCTGTGTGTATCAGTGCATTATCATGCTGATTTCCCTCAGGGTACAATGTTTGAACCATATAGGTGCACATGGTCCTCCAGAATGGTTTGGTAGTACTTGGCCATAAAGTACAGTAGAGAATGCCATGATATTACAGCTCAAACATCACTGATCCACCGCCGTGCTTCACTCTGGGCAACAACAGTCCGGGTGTTAAGCCTCTTCTGGGCTTCTTCACACCGTAACTCCCACTGATGTGGGAAAGACAGTGAAGGTGGACTCATCAGAGAACAATACATGTTTCACATTGTCCACAGCCCAAGATTTGCACTCTTGGCATTTATGAAACACATTTGGCATTTGCACGAGTGACCAAAGGTTTGGCTATAGCAGCGTCAGGCTGAATATTGTCTCTGTGGAGCTCCCGACAAACAGCTTTGGTGGGCAGTTGTGGTTTGATGGATACAATCCGATTTAGCAGTCGGACATCCCTTTTAGGCCAGTGTTGAATAAGTTAAAAAAGTAATTAATTACTAGCTACTAATGACATCTTCAACAGTGTAATTTGATTATTGTACTAATTACTCTCTAAAAAGTATTGGATTGCTTATTACTAATTACTTTCTAAATCCCATATCAACCTCGACCAGTTGAACAATACAAGGATAGACATGAAACTGCCCTTTAATTCTTTCAAATAATAAATAATATAAAATTGCATAAATTATTCTTGAATTGGCCAAAGTATTTAAAGGGAGAAAGCTACATTAACAACAGTGTAACATTAGATGTTAAATTTTGATGTTAAATCCACTATTATTTCATATAGAATTGTTATATACTGTTATTTCCTGTAATTAAATTACAGAAAAATTAAGAGTAATCTTTTATTTTACTTTTTCAAAGGAAAAGTAATTCAATTACAGTAATTAATTACTTATGCAGGAATGTAAAATTAGTGAAGATTGGCCACTAGTCCGTGCATATATGCGCGAAACCTCCAACACTATATTGGCCAGTGTTTCAGTTTCATTGTCCAACCCCTATATATATAGTTGTATGTTTATATAAAATTTGTTTTATTTATTAATTTGTTTTATGATGGATAACGTGGATGAACATTAGAATTTGTCAAGAGCTCTAGTTAACATTGCTTCAAAACTGACACACACACCAAAGATGTCCGGGATCTGTTCATTGACCTTGTGGAGAAGGTAATGCACTGACACTGTAGATAAACTGCACGCCATGAGGTGATATTTGTCCCCGAATAGTCCCAGGTTGAATGTGACAGAATGATTTTCGTTTCTCCTCGCAGTTCATTGAACCGTGCCGGTCAGATAAATGGACAATCAGAGACCTGCTTCAGACACGCTTCAGGCTTTCAGGTTAGTATACACGTGCATTTATGTGTGTTTGTGATCACTTTATCATATACAAACATTTGTTAAAAATACAACGTTTTTTTCCACAGGCATCAAGTCATATGGGACAGATACATGGGTGTCATCAAAAGCTGTATCCTGAAAATGTACCATAACTTTTCATTGCTTCCAGTTAGCGTGATCAAATCTTTGCTAAATTTTACTACCTCAGATCCCTCTGTATATCAAAGTATTCTTGTACAATAGATTTAACTTGGGTAAAATAAATCTGCCTTAATTGCTGGTTTTAAAAGTGGTCATTAGGATAGTCCTGTTACTTATTATTTGGGTAATAGTAGCTACCTGTTTGTGTGCCCAGCGGGTGTGGGTCATCAGCAGGGGGTCTGGTCAGCTCTGGAGTGGATGGATGAGGAGACACTTTTACTACCTTATAAAAGGCCAGAGCTGGGACAGCTGTCACCCCTTACAAATGGTCATGGAAATTTCCTTTGGATATCTGCAGAACTTTCCCTGGCACTCCTGCTGTTTCTGAAAGTAGGCTACCTCTGTTGTTTCCATCAAAGCCATTGTCTTATGGTTCTTAATTCTTTGTGTAATGAAGACGCACAATGTTCCTGGCACCGGGTTGTGTGTTACAGTCAAATCAGGAGGCCTTGCCTCCTTTTTTGCCCTGTTAATTTGTGTCTGCATTCCTTTTTGACATCCCCCAGTAAATATCCAGCAGCGTCAGACACAAGCGAGCTTGACCAGGATGAAAGTTAACCAGGTAAAGTGTATTAAAATGGGAAGTAATTAAGGCCTATGAAATACACAGGATTTGCCTAATAAAACCCAGGTGGATTGTTTTGCAAGCGGACAAAACATAATAGATTTGGGATTTGTTCTGGAAACCAGGAATTTGAATCCTTGGGGGGGAAAAAAGGCAGGAGGGTGAAGGGTGGCAGAGATGCAGGGGCCGTACTGGAGTGGGTGGAGGGGAAGAAGTGGGCCGTCCTTAGCTCCTTTCAATAGCAATGCACCTTTCCTCACATTCAAAATACACCGCTATCACGGCCTGGGTCCTCTCTGTGGTCAAAAACATGCCGCTATATGCTGAGGGACAGAGAAATCCATAGACATAGAGACAGACAACACAACTTCTGCCGGACAGATCAAGTAAAGTGAGTTTCAAACCATCTGTATTTGACTCCTGTGCATTTGCAATGTTTAAAGTTGAGTATAGAAGTAAGTAATCTAAGTGAGAAAGCATTCATGAGAAAATGCATTTATCATTCCAGGACTTTACAGCTCATTGTTTCCTTGCAACTACTACAATGAAATGTTTAATAATGAAATGAGTGACAGGAAATTATTCAATGCTTTACCAGATGTGACAGAATTCTTTAGTTTGAATTATAGTTGAGGATTGCAGACCAGGCTGGTGGCTTATTTTTGGACGGATCTGAGTGCATGGAATTGCCTATGTAGTCATATCCTGCAGAGTTCAGACACTGGCCATGTTACTGCCTCTTATAGGCAGGCCAACTCCACTGTTCCAGAACAAACAGTAAAGCAAGTCCCTAGAAATCAAAGGAAAGTCAAGTCAGTTTATTTATAGAGCACAAATACAAACAAGTAATGTACAAGATGGTTTAATGTTTCTAATGGTTAATATAAGTAAGTACCCAAAGGTTAAAAAAAAAACTCAAAGCTACAGAGAAAGATCATCTTTAATCCTGAAACAGGAGTGTAGGCAGATGTAGTTTGTCAGATTTGAGAGTTTTAAAGGGATAAGGAAGGCTGAAGTTAGAGATATAATATGGAGAAGCTATAAAAACAAATAATAAAGCCTTATAATAAATTCTTTATTGTAGTGTAACAAGTTTAGGGAGGCCAGAACAGTTGAGAGGCTGTCCATTTTGGACAATGAAGTCCTGTGTTAAGTGTTAAAAAGGTAGTAACGTAATTGTTTCCTCAAAAAGCTATATCTACCCGTTTTAAACCTTTTATTAGTTTTGCTGATATAAATAAATATGTTTAGGTTGATTCTGTGATTAAATATTATATTTGACTTGATTAAAACCAGTTAATGTTACCATTATTTTTGTGTACAGTATAGTCAGGATGAGATGAACGCATGAATAACTGTCTCCAGATCATTGAATGTGAGGAATGGAAATCTGTCATGCAATATCTGATTATATGCACCGACTTGTCTTGTTTCCAAGAACAGCCTAGTTATCAACATCAAAATCATAAACTTGCATTTGTAACCTGCAGTATCACATGTGCCATGGAGTAATATTTGTTCAAGACTTTGTTATATTTATGTAAACCTAATCTCACTTGGATAAAAAAAAAATGTTATGCTGGTCAAGCTGCTGGACAATGATATTGTAAACACTTGCAATAAGGTTCATTTTGTTAGCTATCATGAACTCACAAAGAACAGTACTCTTACAGCATTTATTAATCTAGAATAATGCTCATTTCTACGCATGCTAATACATTTTAAAATATCACCTTGTATAAATTAACAATAGTAATGCATTGGATGAATATGAATGAAAGTATTATATGATCATATGTAAATTAACATGAACCTAGATCAGTGTTATTTTAGCATCCTTTTGATACTATTATAATTTGTATATGGCTTTTTTTCATTTTAATTTTAAAGTTTGTCATTTTTAATGTCTATACAGAGTAGTGTTGATATTGTACTGTAAGTGTAAATCAAGCTAATTAACAATCCTAATGATGACACACACCAGTATCCAAAACGAAACATGTGGAGGTGATCAGCAATGCTGGCCTTTTCAACAGGGCACTTTCACTGCTTCCAAATGTGTATGTTTGTCCTCTCCCTGTTAACACATTTATTAGCAATTACCTTTGTTCTTCTTTTTTTACAAGGGTTCACCCCCACCTGTCTGTCTGCCCCCTCCTTATATTACCAGAGGAGACGAACAGACCTCCTTGCACATCTGTTCTCTCTCTTATCGGGCCTCTTTGGAGTGAGAGTGTGCCTTTACGACATCTATACATTTGTTCATCCATCCAGCTGTGAGTGTGGCGGTGTGAGTGTCCTGTACCCTGTAACTATGAAGGCCACATATGTGCTACTTTGTGTGGGTCTGCTTGTTCTTCCTGCTACAATCTGTCAGTCTCCTGCTGAACGTGACTCTTACACTGTAAGTAATTTGACAATTTCTCCATGTTCCTTCTATCGTCCTCCTCATGCTTGAAGATGTAAATGTCTATCTGCCTTCCTACATAACTCCCCATTTAGTGTGGTATTGTATGCTGTCAGACATCAGTTTGCATTAGAAGTCATGTTCCTGTCAATGAAAGTGTTTGAATGAGACTGCTAATGATTAAAGATAACACATAATAAAGTGTGTTTTCTCTGCCAGGAGTGTACAGATGGCTATGAGTGGGACGTGCAGACTCAACTCTGTCGAGGTGGGTGGAAGGTCATGTGCCAGAGAAAGAGAGAGAGATGATGAGAAAGTGATGCATTTCTCTTCTAATTATCTTGTTGGTTAAATGTCACATGCACAATCCGTCTGTCCTGCCCCTGCGTCTGGCTGCATATTTGAATGTTAAAATACACTATGTCCCGATCAGACGCAACGCGATAAAATGCAGGCGATCATAACAAGCTGTACTCAGATGTAGGCCCATAACTGTGCAGGGTGACCCCACACACTTCAAAATCACATTGGTCCAAAATCCTGCTTCATATAAATGCACAGCTAAATTATGTCATTTATGTAAATTATGTAATGCTTTTTGAGGTTAAAATACTTTCTATCCTTCCTACCCTAATATGCCAGATACAACATATCTTAACAGGGTTGCCTCAAAAAAGAAACAAATAATAAAGTCATTTCATCTGAGATTTTGTCCCAACTTGCCATGATTACGACATCAACATCATTTAGTAGGTTCCTATTTCTGTGAGTCATTGTGAAATCTTATTGGTCCAAATCCCACTTCACCGTTAAATATCCTGACATACAAATCAGAGATGTTCCAAGGGAGAGACTTTGATACAAAAAAACATTTGATACAAATGACCAAAATAAAGTTGTTAACTTCACATTTTTATGATTTTATTTGGTAAATTTCATATGCACAAAGACATTTCTAAGGTCTTTATGGTGGTTTTTTAATGTTTGACTCTCTTAAAAAGGGATACGGTACTTCACCCAAAAACAAATATTATGTCATTATTTACTCTCCCTTATGTCGTCCATAACCAGTATGACTTTCTCTCTTCTGCGGAACACAAAAGAAGATACTTATTTGAAATTCCAGAGAAGAAAGAAAGTAATTTTGGTTTGGAACATGTAAATGATGGCAAAATGTTCATTTTTGGGTAAACTATTCGTGTAAGAAACAAACAAAAAAAATCTTAATATAGTAATATATTTCAGTTGCTAAAGATTTAAAAGGAATTCAAACCTCTGTATATATACATATGATATTTATTTTACATGTCTAGCATTGAATAAAAAATAAATGATTTTTTTTTTAAAGGACATTCAAATGACTTCTCAGGTGAGAAACCTAAATCATTTTCTCTATTTTGCTTAGACATAAACGAGTGTGACACTATTCAGAAGGCATGTCAAGGAGAGATGAAATGCTTCAATCACTATGGTGGGTACCTGTGCCTTCCTCGCTCTGCCCATGTGGTCACCGCACCTGAGTCCTCCAGCCAATCAGAGCCCAGTATGCCTGTGGAGACTAACGAGGCCTTTAACCCCTGTCCCGTAGGCTACAGGGCCCAAGGAGAAACCTGTGAGGGTGAGTTATTTAAAGGCAGATGTAGGAAATCCTATTCATATGGCTTTAGATTGAATATGTCTATCAGTGTGGTGTACAGAAGCTCTTCATCATTTAGAGGATTGTGTGTGTGTACTGGACAGACATTGATGAGTGTGAATTGGACATGCATGACTGCCAGCCCAGCCAGCAGTGCATCAACACCGTGGGCACCTACACCTGTCAGTGCCCTGACGGCTACAGCAAGATTGGCATAGAGTGTGTTGGTGAGAGGAGAAATGATCTGTCTTAACGTCTGTCTTTAAAATATGGATGTATCTTTAATGGCCATTTTCACAGAGAGAAACTGAAATAAATTCATGATTTATAGTAAATCTGCAGTCAAGAATCATCATGGCCAATTTAATTTGTATAGGATTAGGCTTCTATTCTACAGTCTACAGTGTCTTCTTCTCTCTTCTGTTAGATATTGATGAGTGCAGGTACAGGTACTGTCAGCATCGCTGCGTGAATGTGCCAGGATCTTTCTCTTGTGAATGTGAGCCTGGATTCCAGCTGGCAGGAAACAACCGATCCTGTGTTGGTAAGTCCTTAAACCAGATACTGTACATATTCCAAAAAAAAAAAACATTTTCTACGCACTCACATTATTAGTTTGACAGGTTAATCAAAATGCCTTTTTAAACAGAATAGTGTAATAAAGAAAAAATTCTGTCACTGTTTCCAACTTCTTTCCTCCATGGAACAAAATGTTTTCCAAATTAATGGGCATGGGGGCTCCATAAAGGACAGAAAAGTACCATAAAATAAATAAAGTGATTCATACGATTTGTGTATGTGCACTCACACTATATGATAGCCCTGTTTGAGGTAAATGCCATGTTTGATGTCAATGAAGATCTGTTATTTGAGAATCAATCATTAATGTCCATTATTTAACTTTAATGAACATTAATGAGATGTACATATTACTGCTTTTTGGCACTTTCATTATGTTTTTTTGCCCTTTTTGGAGATCCAAAATAAAAATGGAAATGATCATGGCAACATATGTTTTTTCCAATACTTTAACTCAAATGAAAATTATTTAACCAATTTCAACTTCATTTAAGATTCAAATAAATGTAAGTATTATTTATTATGAGCCAAAAAAAGAGTTGAAAGACTTTTAGTTGAGTATACAGTTGTTAAAAAAATGTAAAGCAGCAACGTATCTCTTGGTTCTTAGTTTTTTACAGTGCAGCACCTGTTCACTTTTGTTGTGTGGAAAATTGCAGAATGAACATACTTCAGAATTACTTCTTTTGTCTTCCATGGAAGAAAGTTATACAGGTTTGGAATGACATTATGGTACTAGCAAACTCAAAATGTTCCCCTAACATTAGCATATGTGTCCTGGGTTGTTTTTTTCTCTCTCTCTCTCTCTATAGGTTCTTTTTTTTTTTTTTTACCAAAAACTTTTCAAGAGCGTTGCGTGAATGTTGTGACAGCCTAAATAGAACCTACACAAAATGTTTTCTACTAATTATTTTTATGTTTTATTTTTATAACCCTAAACTAACCTTCCCAGAACATTGCAGATGCTTTTTGTGTGAAAACCTAATACACATTTATATAAGTATAAATTATTACTTTTTTATGTGCAAACTATACCTTTAATGCTTTCTATTCAGAAACGTTATTTAGTACAGAACTTCTAACATCTCTGTTCTTTGTTGTCAGATGTAAATGAGTGTGAGATGGGAGCACCTTGTCAGCAAAGGTGTTACAACAGTTATGGCACATTCCTGTGTCGCTGTGATCAGGGCTATGACCTGGGACCTGATGGATACTCGTGCAATGGTTAGTGCACAAAACATTATCTTAATAGTTTTTGACCAATTGATCATGGACTGAATGTGACTGGTTTTCTTTCTCTACTCCCAGATATTGATGAGTGCAGCTATTCCAGTTTCCTTTGCCAGTTTCAGTGTATGAATGAGCCTGGAAGATTTTCCTGTGTTTGTCCAGACGGTTACGAGCTACTTGGAACACGACTCTGCCAAGGTAAAAGTCCCCATATTTAAAGCTGCAGTCCGTAGCTTTTTTTTTTGTTAAAAATTATCCAAAATACATTTTTGAAAAAATACATAACCAGCCAGTGTTCCAAACTATCTGCTTGACTTAGCTCGATGCAAAACGGTAAGCTTGTAATGTTTTTAATTCCAGTGGTCCTGGTGGATTTCCGCGGGAGATTTGTGCATGTCTTTGCGTCATTACGTCACATCTGTACACATAAAGAAGAAGTCTCGGCTAGTATATTATATATACTATATTGCGTGTGAGGATGCTGGAGGTGGAGATTTATAGCCTTTTCTCACAGCACTTGATATAATTAAACTTATTAATTTGATGGCGGATCCAGAAAGGTTTAAACGACAGTCACCAGTGACAACTGGAGACTCACCCGGTGTAAAATGCAAAAGACTTCGTTCGGACTTCAGAGTGAAAAAAACAGACTGCAACCGGACTCGTGCGAAAACAAGGATACATATCGGAAGGACATCACATGTACAGTCACGCAATGCTGACGTTGTTTACATTAACAATTTGAGAACAAAGTATAATTTGCACGGTTTTACGTGATATGATAAGCGATTGTTAGATTTAATCAGCGCGTTTTACTACAATGTCAGAACCAGAACAATAGTGGATGTTACTTACTTGTTCAGATGACATTTTCCGGTGAAAATTCTTATGTTGGTCATACTTCCAAAAAGAATAATCTGTGATTCTGAATGCCAGTATCCACACCGGCACAGTGACTGACAGCCTAACAGTCTCCTCAAACATTGTGTTCATCCGCGCTGTGCCGTGTCCAAGTACAACTCACGTAAAGTTGATAATTCCGCGAATAACTGCAATTGCAGATTTCAAACAGAGATGGCGACAAAGAGGAAAAACTGCGGACTGCAGCTTTAAAGAGGCCATATTATGCTTTTACAAAGTCTTGATTTTTGGGGTGGTTTACTAGAATAGGGTTTCATGCTTGAATGTAAAAAAAAACACACATTATTTTTCACATATTTTATGTTGTTGCAGCACATCTCTTCACAGTCTGTCTGTAACGCTCAGGGGTGAGTTTCCCAAAAGCATCGTTGGCCAACTATGATCGCAATTTCCATTAACTCTATTGGTAACGACGGAACTTGCGACCATATTTGGCTTTGGGAAACGCACCCCTGTTTAGTTCCTACTGTGAAGCCCTTCAAAAAGTGCAATGAGCTCTGATTGGTCTGCTGGACCAGTATGTTGTGATTTGAGCATATTTTGGAAATGTCACGTGACTCACACCCCTTACCCATAACCGCAAGTTTCAACAGACTATTAACTAACTCAACCAGGCCTCACCCCTGATATGCTTACTGATATAGAGAATAACTCCCATTGGAATGACTGTGCTTTGTAACTTTGCAGACCTTTTTCATGCTCAAAAAGCAACATTACACACTAAAGAAAGTTGAAAATGTAAAAAAAAGCATAATAGGTCCTCTTTAAACAAAATTTCTTTTTAACACTTATGTTCCTCCAAATACCCTTATAGCACTAAATGACTCTTACATTCCCCTTGGTTTCAGCTTGTCATAATAATTCTGTGTGTAGATGTGAATGAGTGTGAGACAGGCACTCATCTGTGTGGGGAGAGACAGGTCTGTGTGAACATCCATGGAGGGCATCAGTGTTTGGACTCCAACCACTGCCAGGACCCCTACGTCCAGGTCTCAGAGAAGTGAGTCATTTTTAGAGACAACATTTAACTGAATCAGTCATGTTTTGGCACTTTTCAGTATTTAATAGGGGTGTAACAATACATTGATATGATCATCGATATGCAACTGAATCAAATCGAATCGTAATCGTATTGCTGAATTTTTTGAGGTATCGGCAAATATCGTATCGTTGGCTATGAGAATCGATATCATATCGTATCGTGATGAACCATCCGATTTAACACCTTTCTCCATTTTTTCCTTTTCATTTTTTGTCACTTTCTTTCTGTCCAGTCGTTGTATATGTCCAGTGGTGAAGCCAGAGTGTCGTGACATGCCTTTCTCCATTGTGCATCGATACATGAGCATCACCTCTGAACGCTCGGTTCCCTCAGACATCTTCCAGATCCAGGCCACCAGCGTCTATCCTGGAGCCAACAACTCCTTCCGCATTCGTTCTGGAGACGAAAATGGAGAATTCTACATACGGGTTAGTACGAGACGCAATGCCTTTTATAGATCAGTTTCAAAACTTTAGTTACATAATGTGTGATTTAGTACAGACTGATAAAAATAGCTCTATTTTGCTTTTTTAATTATTATATTACGCTACTGTTCAAAAGTTTGGGGTTAGTAAAATGTGAATATTTTTGAAAGAAGTCTCTTATGTTCACCAGGGCTGCACTTATTTGATAAAAAATAATAAAAATCAGTAATATTTTGAAATATCATTACAAATTAAAATAACAGATTTGTATTTTAATATGTAATTTATTCCTGTGATGGCAAAGCTGAATTTTCAGCATCATTACTCCAGTCTTCTGTTTCACATGATCCTTCAGAAATCACTCTAATATCCTTATTTGCTGCTTAACAAACATTACTTATTATGATCAATATTTAAAACAGTTGTGCTGCTTAATATTTCTGTGGAAACTGTGAAGACAATTTTGTTGATTATCAATATTTTTTTTTTTTTTATTATTCTTTGATGAATAGAAAGCTTAGTAGAACAGCATTTATTTAATGCATTCTTGCCGAATAAATGTTACTTTAAAAAAAATCGCACTGGCCCCAATCTTTTGAATTATATTATATAAAATAAAGATTTTTTTTATTTTATTATAATAACATTTTATTATGTTATTAATACATGATCATTGTCACATATTTGTTTATACTGATTAGTGACCTAATAGTGTAGAATCTTAAATATTTTGTCTTATTGTTTCATCTCTTGTCCCCAGCAAATCAACAACATCGGTGCCATGTTGGTTTTGGCCCGAGCAGTGACTGGACCGAAGGAGTACGTCCTCGATTTGGAGATGGTGTCTGTCAATCCTCTCATGAACTACCAGACCAGCTCTGTTCTTCGTCTCTCCGTTTATGTTGGGCCTCATGCTTTCTGAGGAGAGAGAAAAGGAGGGATATACAGAGACAAAATACTGAATGATTAATTCAGTCTATTTTTGCTTTCATGTGTTAAGAATTGGGAACACAATTCCAGAATTCTCCAGCTAATAATGTGAAGTCGTCTTTTTTTGTGGCTGACTTTGGCCTGTGACTGCGGGCCTATTCCGGGAAGTGCTAAAGCATCTGAACATTCATTCCTCTCACTTTGTCACTGTGGACTCATTCTCACACATACATAGCATACAAGTACACACACACACCATAAACACACACATCATAAACACTGCACACACATATCAGCTCCAAATATTTCAGAAAGATAGATTCTTATTAGTACCAAGTTTTGCTAATAAAATCCCTCAAAGCATATTTACAGTATATTTATATCTAACCTACATACAACACATATTCCAAAGTACCTTTGTATTTACATATATCTAGTGTAATACTGTATTATCTCAGAAAACACTAACAAACTAAAGACAAGTACAGGTCTCTCTGGGCCTTGAATGAAACATGAGAACACATTTCTTTGTAAAATAATTTGTGAAACCATTCTTAAGTATATTGCTCCATTTTGTCTAATGCGTATTGAATTCACTTCTGCTTGTGTTTGCTCAATTAGACTCCTTAATGATACAAAAATCTTTTTTTGTTTTGTTTTATTATATTTTTTGCATAATTTGTTAAAGTAAAAAGTAAATAAATGTAAAAAAAAAAATAGTCTTAATCCTCCCTTCATATCTTTGTTGTTTTATAATCTTTTCCTTTCTTGTCTGTATAGGCGGAAAATATCACATTTTTTGTACAATAATTTCAGTTTAATTTCTCCTGATTTGAAGTGTTGAAGGTAAGTAAATGAAATGTATTACTCAGGTGTCTCCACATGGTGACAGTGTAACACTGGTGAACACATAATGCGTTTTACCTTTTTGCTATTAGCTGATTATTAAAATCCATCATTACAGTCACTTTTAAGGGGAAAAGTTCACAAATGTGTTGCCAAAAATAAATGTCACATGTTATAGGTCTACTGTACTTCAAAACTACTGTATCTAATATTTTCATTCTGAAAATACTATGTATTTACTACAAGATTTGAAGTTGTTCTGTAGTTTCGGAACAAATTTACTGTAGGCCTGCCCTACATCATAGACAAAAAGACAGAACAGCTGAAGAAGTTAATGGACAAAAAAGTAACAATGACTGTATGAAAACTGATACCTTTAAATGCTAATTAGAGTGTAAAAGGCTTGTGTTTTTGCAGGCCATTCATTAACATAATTTCATCAATGGACTGCTCATCTCACACTGGTTGTGGAACAATGGAAAAACGAGTAGGAAGTTCTATTTGAGTCAGCGTCTGATTAATTACTGTTACAGGTGTGTGTGTGTAAGAATCTGAGTGTTAATTATAACGGCATGTAGTGAATTGTCAAATGATAAGTGTGAATTTAGCCAAGTGTAGCTCCAGCAGGGAAATGATGAGCTCATTGATGGTCAGTGTTGGCACAGAGGGCTTGTGGGCAGTGCAGCAGATGGATGTAGGTGTGATAGGAGTAGTAGCTCAGCACACTGACAATCATGTGAGAACGAGATTATGCTGTAATATTTTACATTCTCCATCTTTTTCTTAAATGGTCTCTTTGAAGGTACAACAAGCCTGCAACAGGACGATATTAACCGAGTATAAGTGGAACAGGCCTAATTGACGACGGGCCGTTGAATTATTAGAAAAAAATAGTGCATACCTGAGGTGGTAATGCATGCAGCCACGACGCGAAGCGACTTAATGTTGTGGTAAAAACAAAAACATGGAAAATATTTGTCGTTTTTTAGCCTAGTTGTTTACTATATTTATTTCCTTGGTCAGTGTCGTTGTGGGTTTTGGTTATTCTGCTGTTGTAATCTGTAAGACATTTGAAATAACTGAAATCGTTTGGCAAAGTGGAATGGAACCGCAATGCGGCCATAAGACCTGTCTGGAACTACTTTAGCCGTGCGTGTCCCTGAAAATAATTGCACACCTTACAACGTTCCTCAACCAATTCAAGCATTCAACAGCCATCCCCGTAGCCTTTTTAATCCGCTTGTAGCGGAAATTAAATGAATATATGTTACATCCGTTTAAAAGTATAGTTAACGTTCGTGCCTGTCTATTAATAACCGAATTGTGTCTAAAAATAAACAAGGTTGGTTATTTTCACATGCAGAGGAAAATGGGCCCCGTTTTGGAGCTATTTTTGTGGCTCACAAGGGTAATGTTACACTGAGTTATAAGGAGAGTCATTTTCCCGTCCACCCCCTCAAATACACGTAACAACCAGGCCATTAAAACATATTGTTCTCTGATAGCGATGAATGACTGAAACAACAGATGTGCACTCTTAAGTGTTGTGAAATTTGAATTACCTTTCTCTCTCTTTTTTTTTGTGTGGTAATTTTAACATTTCCATCCCACACAAATCATCCTCAATTTTCAAGAAGATGAAAAGGTAAAAAAACGTATCTTCAAACCAGAAAGAATCAGGCAACTTGACCTTCCAAGTGATTTAGCATGCTCTAAAAGCGTGATAGCAATGGTAAGGTGAGTTTCCATTCTTAGTTTTCTTCACAAATTGATGTTTTATTAACAAGGTTCGGGAGGAACACGTTCTAATGATCAAACAATCAAGTCATTCCAGCCAGCTGTCAGCAATCAGTAATCAACAGGTCCACTCAATCAGCACGAGTAAAGCCTATAAATATACTCAGTCGACTCACCCATATTCCTCGACAGTTTTCAGCATCCCTCCACCACCCCATCTCCTCACACTTGCCTAGTTATCTTCCTAAACAGAGATACGGGGGGAGTACTCTGGGTTCGGGCCCAATTTCCGAGCTCGGAGCCCTCCCCCCGGACAGCACGCCAAATACGCATAACCATCTATTCTCTGATCATTTGTAAGTGTGAACTCGTGAAATAGTGGATAAAGAAGCTTGTCGCATTCCCAAAATGTATAAAGTCATCGAAATACACACTGCAACCTTTTGAACATATAGGAAGACCATTTCCCTTTACTTTTGGTTTTAGTATAGCTATATTAATAAATTTCACTTTATTTCAAATCATTGGGATAGGTTAAATGTTATGACTTTTTCATGTTGGGATCAAATTGGTGCTTGAGAAGAACCACAGTTTTTTATCTCTTGCAATGTGCAAATTTAGTTACTAAGATACTGCAGCTCTGTTGCCATGGGTGCAGAGATACAGAGATGGTCAAGTATCGGCTTCTTGTATAAAAACCCATAAACAAAAGAAAGAAAAAAGAAGAATGTGTAGAAAAAGACAGAGATACTACAAATGAAACACGTTGGGCATTTCTTTGTCAAAATTATATTTTGATCACAAAGGTAACAATTCTGTGGCCACAAAATTATTCATATTGTCCTGACTGTGGAGTCCAAATTAGAATAATAAAAGTTTTGCGAAAGTGGTGGCATAAGCAACATGAGTCAAGAAGACTGACCACCTGAGCTGAATTTCGCATTGTCCTGGAAAGCAAGATAATTATCCAAGTGTTCTTTCGGTTCTTCAAAAAATGACCAAAGTTCAATGTAAATTAAAAGACGTACCGTACAAGTGAACAGATTATGAGCATTACACATTTTCTCCAAGAAATCCCATCCCCCATCTTTCGGATTTCAGCAGATGGCCATGCCACCCACGTAATAAACAAAAAAGTCCAGTGGGAGCTCAGAGGTTAGGGTGGCATCTCCATCTCTCTCTCCCAAGGGCCAGGTCCACATCATCCAGCAAAACTTTTCATCAATATTGATAGCATATGTTCTGACGTCAAATGCTGTGGCTGTCCAACAGTCTGTCCCCTCTGTTCTTGTCTTCCAGCCTCCCATTTACATCCATTAGTTCAAAGGCTAAAAGATTTTGTTATTGGATCAGTAATAGCCATAATTGCACAGGTTGGACATAAAAAAGATGAAAAAGACAGTATTGATGCAGATAATGGCAGCCATATACCTCATAGGATGTAAGATATTACAAACAGGAACTGTGACTCAGGCTTATTTAACCCCAGGACAATAAAAAAATAAAAAATAAATCCCCTCTGGAGGTGATGGATGGAAAATATGCTAGAACCAAAACACAAGCATCCATCCAATATTGCATCACAATATTCTCACTTTTTAGGGCTTTTCACACTGCGATTAACCCAGACTTATTGTCGCTTGTGAGTTAGAAGTGGGGTTAGCACCGCTTTTTACCCCGGGTAAAAACCTTTTGCAGTGTTAACATTGCATTGCACAACCCGCATTAGGGTGCCAAACGTGTTCAGTGTGAAACAGTGGTGTTAGAATGTTACAGCTAGCAACAGACAACCAATCGCGTACTAATATTTGCATGCTTTGGACAGACACGGAAACACAGAGCATTAGCCTGGAGGTCCTTCTCAAAAAATTAGCATATTGTGATAAAGTTAATTATTTTCCATAATGTAATGATAAAAATTAAACTTTCATATATTTTAGATTCATTGCACACCAACTGAAATATTTCAGGTCTTTTATTGTTTTAATACTGATGATTTTGGCATACAGCTCATGAAAACCCAAAATTCCTGTCTCAAAAAATTAGCATATTTCATCCGACCAATAAAAGAAGTGTTTTTAATACAAAAAAAAAAGTCAACCTTCAAATAATTATGTTCAGTTATGCACTCACTCAATAGTCAATACTTGGTCGGGAATCTTTTTGCAGAAATGACTGCTTCAATGCGGCGTGGCATGGAGGCAATCAGCCTGTGGCACTGCTGAGGTGTTATGGAGGCCCAGGATGCTTCGATAGCGGCCTTAAGCTCATCCAGAGTGTTGGGCCTTGCGTCTCTCAACTTTCTCTTCACAATATCCCACAGATTCTCTATGGGGTTCAGGTCAGGAGAGTTGGCAGGCCAATTGAGCACAGTAATACCATGGTCAGTAAACCATTTACCAGTGGTTTTGGCACTGTGAGCAGGTGCCAGGTCGTGCTGAAAAATGA